AAAAACTGGTGGATCATTGGGCAATTTGCGAAAAAGATGCTCAGACGTTAGTACAATCCTAGTAAGAAAGTGGACACAAACTTCTCTATCCTTTTCTGGATTAAGTACTAAAAATTGGATTGTGAATATACATTGTCACCACATGCAATTGTTGATGAATTCTACATTCTACATTTAGTCGGTGATTGATGATGACACCTGTTGATTACGTGGAATAAATACACACACATATATATAATCATATATATAGTATATATGTGGAAAACATACTGTATGGTTTACCCAAGAATTGATCTATAAATATTCGATGTTTCACATATTTCCATATCTATGTTAGTTGATTTACTGAGGGTATATGGGCATGGGTCAAATTGTTGATCCCTAAAAAATGGATGGTTTATAATGATAAATAAATCCATGTTCCATGGGTCCATACTTAGTTGTTCGAAGAAAACACGGATCAACACACTGTTTTTCCCAAATTAACCATTGTGTTTTTGTTCTAAAGACTATTTGGTTGAGCTCAACAACTCTGAGTGTTTTTAATTTTCTCTTGGTTGAGCCATGTTGCCCTGTTCCGGACAACAGAATATATTCTGGGATACACATGACACTCCCACTTGAATAACCACATATTCCATAAGACGCATGAACATGCCATGTAATTTTGCGCAATGTTGGATAATCTTGAATATAGCAATTCTGGGATAAACATGACAAATCCTTGTTTGGCTCCTAACTTGGCACTACAATAGACACGTCATATGAGCATATATGAACCAGATTAGAAATTTCCCACGTTCCTGGTAATCTAAAATAGGAATGCACAATCTTTATCTCTTGTAGAAAATCATTGATCAAATAGCCGATTCTCCATGAATTTCCGTTGCCCCGCTGGGTGCGGATGGGTAGCTGACCATGGAAATGACGAAGAGCATGATGGCTTTGCCGGGGACCATGCAAATATATGCAAATATATGCAATATATAATATATGCAAATATATGCAAATATATGCGCAGATATATTAAATAAATGTAAATATAAAATATTTTGCGCCAACAACCATGTTATCATGTTGTCATCATGGGTTGTTGTCAAATCAACAGGCTCTGAATGCCTTTTTTGGTTTGAGGAGCTCCAATTCAGAATGGGTATGGGTCAACAGTTGGGTACCTCAATCCCCTCATTGTCCGAGCTGGGTCTGTCTGAAAATGGGGGAACACACATGAAAAAACCAGCGATTTGAGCAGGGAAACATTGGATTTTCGGTAAACCCTTGGATTTTGGAGTGCTTGATTTTCAGACATATCATGACAGTCATCATGACATATTCCGCCATGAACATGGCCATGAATTGGACCCCCATGGTCCCGTCTCGACACCAGGATGGTTTGAGTTTCTTGGACAGCTGCTTGGGATCAAGGCAGCGTGAGCTTTGTTTTGAGAGATTTTTCAAGCGGAAAACGACGCGAACATTGGATACACAATTAGAGTTGAATGGGGATGAACTAAACCGACCTTACTCAATTTGGATTTTGAGGGATGAACATCCACTTACCATCACTTACCAACTATTTTGGTGTTCACCGAAGGCACCCTTGTTCTGACCCACTGCCAATATCCCCCAAATATGGGGGAAAAACTGGACTCTGGTTCTTGAACTTTTCTTTTTGACTCAAAATCGCGACCATAAAATGATGTTTTCATGAGTGAAATTGGAGTGACACCCACTAACACCAGCGGATTTTAGGGCAAAAAATCACTTGCAATACGGTTGTCCCAGTCGACTACCATAGATGGTATGATTACTGCTATTTCTGATTGAAACCGACCAACATATTCCTCACAAGGCCTTGGTGTTTTCAGCCCATCGGGCGACAGGCCTGGCACTCCGTTGAGTGCCAATTCGCCACTGGAGTCAGAAGCCCAGATCCCAGTGACGGATGGGTCATCCCCACCTTCGGGGCGATTCTCAGGTCTCCAAGAGACAGGATATCTCTACCACTTGTGCGATGCTCAGTGGGAAACGGTAGCATCAAAAAGGGTCCCTAAAGGTATGTCTAACAAGTTGGAACCCAAAACGTAAAACTCACATAGTTTTTCTCTGTTTCAGGACAAACCAGCTTTACAGGTCAGATTTACAGCAAACCACCAGGTTAAATTCAATTTTTTGTTGGTAAAACCAAGAGTTTTGGGTTTCCTGATTTCTTCTGGAAACTAACCCGGTTCCTGCTGAGGGTTTACCCTCGATGCCATCAATGCCCTCCATCCCGGCCAGCGGAAGTGGCCCCGGGCCTAGAGGATCAGTGCTGAGCACCACACAAAATTCAAGGTTTAAGCAGGGTTTAATCTATATAATCTAGCAACTTGAATCTAGAGAACATATCAAACATTGGTCCAACATTGGGTTTTTACTCATCTTCAACCTATGGAAAGAGGGGTTTAACCTCAGGCCCAACTTGCAAAAATTGGGTTTGAAAATCTTTGACCTACAAAGAAAATTGTGTCTTAAAGCATTTTTACCCCATGACAAATTAGAGTTACTTTCCGGTAGACCAACAATAGTTGGCTGGGAAAGCCACATTTTTAGTGCGAAGTCTTCAACAAAGGGGTGAATTTTACGGTGCAACGGTGCAACAGATTAGATTCCCAAAGGGCAGCCAAGAAGAACATGGGTAGAGAAAGAATATATACAAGGTGAAAGCAAGGTGACATATTGTCGCGCCTGCTTGTTGATGCAATAAGCCGCCTCGATCTTTCAGCCAGAACACCTGTAGAACTTTGCATCTTCTGGGATGTCCGAGTTTCGGCACTGAAAGGGTCAACTTTGCTAGGAAAAACATCATCACCTGGACCGGCGCTGCCCTAAAATGGGCACAATAAGATCAGTACATCTTCAATTAGTACCCTCTGGTAAACTAACATAACTATGGAAAATCACCATTTTCAATGGGAAAATCCACTTCTATGGTCATTTTCAATAGCTTTTTGTATGTTTACCAGAGGGTAGTTTTCAATAGATTCCAATAGTTTCCATAAGATTCCAATAGATTCGAGATAATTCCAATCGTTTCCACAGCACCGGACCAAGGTTTGAATGATGGGGCCCGACGCTTTGATGGTGCCTCTCTCGGGGAGGGCACGTTGAAAAAAAACTTATCTGTGCTTGGATGGTTCCCGGAGAAGCATTTTTGGGCATTTGACCAGGTATGGATTTCTCCAAATTTTGGATTTTAGGCAGGATTTCTCCAGAACCTGCAAATGACTGAGGCACCAATCCTAGGGGCAGTGAAAGTGGTGATCTGCGTCCAAGCAGAGCAGCACCCGTGGGGGTCCACAGCGAATGCCGTGCTCCGGCCCGTGCTTGGCGTGTGGCGTTGATAATGTTTCCGGTTCAACCAACTGGTGAGGCGAAGTTTAAGGATGTTTAAGGTTTTTTTTTTTGTGCCATGATGATATGTGTAGACATGCGTAGTATGTATCTACTACCCGGCTATTTTTGCCCCTGTAAATTCAGACTTGAAAGATTGGCTGAAGATTGGCTGTGGTTTGCAAACACTGTGTCTTTCGTCAAACTGTGCTTGATTGCCAATTTTGACGAGGGAAGTGCACTCTTCTTGAATCCAGTGACGAAACGCATCACAACGGCTCAACATCAATCAACGGCTCAGACGGCTCAAACGGAGCCATCAAATCATGGGAAAGGCAGGCAGAAAAGAAGTAGGTTCAGCCTGTCTGCAGAGACTCTGTAACATTTAGGTTAAGACAGATCTAGAGATATGATGAGATATGATGAGATATGCACATCTTTTGTCCAAACATCCCTGAAAAATCTTATCCACAGAAATTCACACCAAAAAAAAATCAGAATCCCAGCCACTCATCTACCATTCTCCATCATGGACCTGGTTGACTTGGGCCAGCAGTTCGGTTTGCCAAACCACGTGCTCGACGTCTTCCGGGACAAGGCAGTGGTGTCCATCAGCACTTTAGTGAAGACGTTTGAAGATGACGAGCAGTTCTGCGACTTTGTAGCTTCGGAGGTGCAGAAGAGGCAGGGCATTTGCTCCAAACGCCTGCGCTTAGCATTGAAGATGGTCTATTTGGAAGCCGTACAGAAACACGGTTTGAAATTTTGCGGAAGATGATGACGTTTTGACAGTTTTGATCAGTTTTGTATTTTGGTATATTGTTTTGGTTTGGATCCACCTAATTTGTGAGATATGGTATCGTTGAATAAACATGTTCGCTACTCTTTTCCTGGCTCCAAGGAAGGGTAAACTGAAAGGCCTGAAGCCAAAGATGTCCAGTTCTCCAGTTTCATCTTCGGCGCCCAGCGCTGCATCGGACAATGGTGAAGACGAGGCATCACCAGAGGAGGATGAGGAGGAAGAACCTCCGCCGCCGCCACCGCCACCCCCGCCGGATGGCCCGGCCTGGCGGCCATGAGAGCATGCAGAATCTCCCAGGTCTCACCGGCCAAGCATTGAATGAAGTGCTTGGACGAAAAATCTCCTGGCTTAGGGGGCTGGAAATGGCTGGAACGCTGGTGGAAGGGTGGGTACATGTGGGTACCATATTTGAGTCTGGCTTCATCATTGTTGATGGGTTTTGGGTGTTGATAAAGCGTATCCACGGGGATTGTCTGTGTAAGAAGCTTTGGGGGGATGCGGGGGATACCCATGGATTGACCTCCAAGGTCATGGCGGACAAAGAAGCCAAAGCCTGGGTTCAGGAGAGGCTTGTTTTTTAAAGGTGCTAACATGACAATGGCTAAATAGACGTTGGGGCATGATGATTCCAAATTTTGAGACAGCTCCACATATGGATCTGCATATATACGTATATTATGGATTATATGTGTATATATATAATTCGGGACCCATAACAGCTCACCATATTTTTTCGGCTTATTCTTTGAGACATAGAAGATGGCTGGGATGCAAGTTTTCACGAGCCTTGAAACTCAATGATTTGGAAAAACAATCCAGTTTCCGGTTAAGCTTTTCGCAACAAGACCACCCCATTGATCATATTTGGTGATAAATCCCACGTTTTTCTGGTCATTATGTCATTACACCTAACGTTCATTCGTTTTGCCAAATACCGTTTTTGCCCGTAATGACCCAAGACATTGTGAAATCAAAAAAGCATTGCAGGTCTACCTGTAGCAAAAGAATAATTGTTCAACATTTTGTTGAACAAAAAGGGTAAACACAGCAACTCTCGAACAAGCTCCAGATGATCAAAACCATAGTGACCAAACAGAATCGTCAAAGCCGTTTGACCAGAAAATATGGTATTCTGTCTTTCCAGGATATGAAATCCACATCTTTGATGGCTAAATTCGCCACATTTATTGGGGTTCCACGCGGCTTCCCCGGTGGAGTTTCCGCCGGAGGAAGACCTGCAGCAAGAAGTGAAGAGCCTAGCAGCGCCAGGCTGGCAACAGCCTGAGGTGGGGAAGACCTGGTCCGGAACGAATGGAAGTTGGTTCGGGGATTCCATGTATAACCAGGACAATAATGGAGCTATCATGATATGATCAACCGTTGTGGATTTTCGGGCCATGGATTTCAGACAAGCTCATGAGGATTTCAGGAGTTGCCCTCTCATTTTATTGGCATTTTGTCCTTAGGCCCCTGCATTTTATTTTATTTTTTTAGGTGCCTCACCCCACCCCCTGGCAAGCTAGGAGGGTGTTCATGATATGTTATAATAATGTATAATAATGTTATATATATAACATACGCACATATGTACTATGTGATTAATCACAACTATGCAGTGGGGGATTCGATGGATGTAGAAGCAGTAGGACAATAATAGGGATATCATGAGGTATATTACCGTACGTGTATGATGATGATGATGATGATGATGATGATGACGATGATGATGATGATGATGATAACATATGCACATATGTACTATGTGATTAATCACACATATGCAGTGGGGATTCGATGGATGTATAAGCAGTAGGACAATAATAGGGATATCATGAGGTATATTACCGTACGTGTATGATGATGATGATGATGATGATGACGATGATGATGATGATGATGATAATAATAATAACACACGCACATATGTACTATGTAAATCACACATATGCAGTGGGGGATTCGATGGATGTATAAGCAGTAGGACAATAATAGGGATATCATGAGGTATATTACCGTACGTGTATGATGATGATGATGATGACGATGATGATGATGATAATAATAACACACGCACATATGTACTATGTGATTAATCACAACTATGCAGTGGGGGATTCGATGGATGTAGAAGCAGTAGGACAATAATAGGGATATCATGAGGTATACTACCGTACGTGTATGATGATGATGACGACGACGACGACGACGACGATTTTGACGATGACGATGACGACGACGACGACGATGATGATGATACATAATATATAGAATATACTTATATATATACTTATATATATACACACATATATACTTATATATACATACATATATATATATCTATACAGTTATACATATACATATATATGCTTATATAATTACATATATATATATATACATGTCATATACACATATATTTACTATATACTGTAATTAAGTATCATTTCATTAATTATCATCATGCATTTAAAATGTAAGTAACACTCTATGATGGTTGGGTGTCTGAGGGTGGGGTATCTTCATAGCCATTTGAAACGGAAAAACACCTTGTGTTGCAAGGGTTTCGCATTCGGATTTTGGAGCACTTTTGGAGCCGTTTGTTTTGGATTTTGGTGGGGCCTTTTTGGAATCGTTTTTTTTGGGGGGGCATTTCGATTTTGGGAGAGGTTCAAATTTTGGTTTTGCGTCCTTTGTGGTAATTTGTTTGCTGCATTCCTTTAGTGCTTTTGTTGTACATTTTTTTCGACGATCATCTCAACTTTTTTGCACAGCTCATGTTTGTTCAGCTGGCCCAAGTCTGTTTCGACATTTTTTCGTTTCGTTCCAATTCGTTGAGTGAACTTTACAAAATGTATATTTCGATTTTCATGCATTTTGCAACAACTTATGTTTGTCCAGCTGGTCCAGGTTTGTTTTGCTAAGCCGTTGGCCAAACAGAATCGTCAAAGCCGTTTGACCAGAAAATATGGTATTCTGTCTTTCCAGGATATGAAATCCACATCTTTGATGGCTAAATTCGCCACATTTATTGGGGTTCCACGCGGCTTCCCCGGTGGAGTTTCCGCCGGAGGAAGACCTGCAGCAAGAAGTGAAGAGCCTAGCAGCGCCCAGCTGGCAACAGCCTGAGGTGGGGAAGACCTGGTCCGGAACGAATGGAAGTTGGTTCGGGGATTCCATGTATAACCAGGACAATAATGGAGCTATCATGATATGATCAACCGTTGTGGATTTTCGGGCCATGGATTTCAGACAAGCTCATGAGGATTTCAGGAGTTGCCCTCTCATTTTATTGGCATTTTGTCCTTAGGCCCCTGCATTTTATTTTATTTTTTTAGGTGCCTCACCCCACCCCCTGGCAAGCTAGGAGGGTGTTCATGATATGTTATAATAATGTTATATTTATATATATATATATAACATACGCACATATGTACTATGTGATTAATCACAACTATGCAGTGGGGGATTCGATGGATGTAGAAGCAGTAGGACAATAATAGGGATATCATGAGGTATATTACCGTACGTGTATGATGATGATGATGATGATGATGATGATGATGATGATGATGATGAGGACGACGACGACGACGACGATGATTTTGACGATGACGATGATGACGACGACGATGATGATGATATATATAATATACTCATACGTATATATTTATATATACACACATATATACTTATATATACATATATATATATACACTTATATATATATACATATATGCTTATATATAATTACATACATATATATATATACTTATATATATATATACATGTCATGTATACATATATTTACTATATACTGTAATTAAGTATCATTAATTATCATTATGCATTTAAAATGTGAGTAACACTCTATGATGGTTGGGTGTGTCTGAGGGTGGGGAATCTTCATAGCCATTTGAAACGGAAAGAAACCTTGTGTTGCAAGGGTTTCGCATTTGGATTTTGGAGCACTTTTGGAGCCGTTTGCATTTCGATTTTGGGAGAGGTTCAAATTTGCATTTTTGGTTTTGCGTCCTTTGTGGTAATTTGTTTGGTGCATTCCTTTACTGCTTTTGTTGTACATTTTTTTCGACGATCATCTCAACTTTTTTGCACAGCTCATGTTTGTTCAGCTGGCCCAAGTCTGTTTCGACATTTTTTCGTTTCGTTCCAATTCGTTGAGTGAACTTTACAAAATGTATATTTCGATTTTCATGCATTTTGCAACAACTTATGTTTGTCCAGCTGGTCCAGGTTTGTTTTGCTAAGCCGTTGGCCAAAAAGAATCGTCAAAGCCGTTTGACCAGAAAATATGGTATTCTGTCTTTCCAGGATATGAAATCCACATCTTTGATGGCTAAATTCGCCACATACATTGGGGTTCCACGCGGCTTCCCCGGTGGAGTTTCCGCCGGAGGAAGACCTGCAGCAAGAAGTGAAGAGCCTAGCAGCGCCCAGCTGGCAACAGCCTGAGGTGGGGAAGACCTGGTCCGGAACGAATGGAAGTTGGTTCGGGGATTCCATGTATAACCAGGACAATAATGGAGCTATCATGATATGATCAACCGTTGTGGATTTTCGGGCCATGGATTTCAGACAAGCTCATGAGGATTTCAGGAGTTGCCCTCTCATTTTATTGGCATTTTGTCCTTAGGCCCCTGCATTTTATTTTATTTTTTTAGGTGCCTCACCCCACCCCCTGGCAAGCTAGGAGGGGATTCATGGTATGTTATAATAATGTTATATTTATATATATATAACATACGCACATATGTACTATGTGATTAATCACAACTATGCAGTGGGGGATTCGATGGATGTAGAAGCAGTAGAACAATAATAGGGATATCATGATATGATCAACCGTTGTGGATTTTCGGGCCGATTTCAGACAAATCAATGGAGGATTTCAGGAGTTGCGAATGCGGGAGGGAGATGTGTGAGATTTTCCAACACCGGGGACAATCAATGGCTGAATGCAGTTGCTAGTTGATGAACCTCTAAATGGTCTAGTGCGATGATGGCTCACAGGACAGTTTAAATGACAGACTTGGAGGATGGTGTTGTACTTGTGGAAGTGAAGCTGTGGGGCTTGGAGAATAAACCCAACTTCAGGGATTTTAAAGGATCCCAGATGCACTACCATGCAGTGGTGTATAGTGGCCAAGTTGGCTTCTTGTTTGTATAAACGACGAGCTGAAGTGATGTATGCAGGCTGTTTCGACAGCTCTTGCTGAATCCAGCAGAGAAGGAGTTGAGGCCAATGTAGTGGTTTTCTCTCAACAAAGCGCACAAAACTGGGAAGACACCGGACAGAATGTAAAAACCAAGCGAAAATAGAGTCGAACAAGCGGAGCAAACATGATAATTTTCTGTTTGTTTCTATTGTTGCTTTACTTTTGCTTTATATGAATCAGTGAATCCGTCATGCGTTCACGTTCCAAGTTTGTGCCATGCCTTTTTTTGCTTTTCATTTCTGCAACTTTTTGTTTGCAATTTCACTATTTTGTTTTTTTTTCAGTCAAACCTTGTTCTGTGCCACATAAGACCAGAGTTGTCATTGGAGTCGCTGCGAAGGAACCATTACCCCTTCCCCCATCCTTTCGTAATCAAAACCTGCAATGACCAATCTCCTATGATTGTGGGTTTTGATCAGAACATCATTTATCAAGTTGAATTTCTGGTAACTCCATATATGACATAATAGTAGTCATTTTGATACAGCGCACAATATCCCATATAAAAATCAATACGACCACAACAACATTCATTTATCACACAATATCCCACTATATTCTTAATCACCATATACCACACTATACTTACAGTATATATTAATCACAACCACTATGCGGATCTAGGACCGAATACCATAACCTTGGTTCTCACCCTGAGCAACCGCACAAATCAATGCTAGGAGTTGGAAGGGGCTGGAACTGAACAGCCGCTCAGCTGAACAGCCGCTGCACGATGTGCTGGATCCTTTTTTTTCATTGCCAAAATACATCAACATACTGGATCAACCTTGGTTAAACAGTTTTTTTGCCATAAGTGGGTATATACTACTCTGATACTACAGTAAGCAGTTAAACATCCAAGTTTTGGCAGGGAATGATTGCTGGATGATGCGATGATGATCTGAAAGGAAGCCTGAATGACCCATGAGACATTCATGATTTCTGGTGGTCGGTGTGTGTGCGGGTTTGTATCCCCGAAACAGTCTCAGTGAAAACATAGTTACAAGAAACCTACACATTGCATTGCATGTTCAATAAAAACCAATGACATCAATGGTTCATAATTGTTCGGTGTAATCTTTCCTTTTCAGCTTGTTTCCCTTCTTGTCTCCCTTCTTGCTTCCCCTTGTTGGATGGTGTGTCCACCTTCCCCCGTTGTCTCCCATTGTCTCTTGTTATTGGATGGTGTGTCCGCCTTCCCGAGGCCTTGTCTCCCAGCTTGTCTCCCAGCTTGTCTCCCAGCTTGTCTTGTTTCTTGTTCCCCAAACAGTGTACTGTTAGGGGTTCTTAATGCTTCCTTAAGGTGTCCGCCTTGGTGTTGGATGGTGTGTCCGCCTTCCCGAGGTCTTGTCTCCCCTCACATGTTTGCCTGTGTTGGATGTTGTGTCCACCTCCCGAGGTCTTGTCTCCCCTTGTCTCCCATTGTCTCCCGTTGCCTCCCGTTGCCTCTCATTGTCTCCCCACATGTGTGCCTGTGTTGGATGGTGCGTCCGCCTTCCTGAGGCTCCCATTGTCTCCCATTGTCTTCCCGCATGTGTCAAGGTCCTGTCTCCCCTTGTCTCCCATTCTCCCCACATGTGTGCCTGTGTTGTGTGTCTGCCTTCCCGAGGCCTTGCCTCCCCTTGTCTCCCCTTGTCTCCCCACATATGTGTGCCTGTGTTGGATGGTGTGTCCCATTGTCTCCCATTGTCCGCCCCACATGTGTGCCTGTGTTGGATTCCCGATGTCTTGTCTCCCCTTGTCTCCCCCACATGTGTGCCTGTGTTGGATGGTGTGTGCGCCTTCTCGAGGTCTTGCCTCCCTTGTCTCCATTGTCTCCCATTGTCTCCCCACATGTGTGCCTGTGTTGGATGGTGTGTCCGCCTTCCCAAGGTCTTGTCCGCCCTTGTGTCCCTTCTTGTTTCCCTTTGTTAAATAATATGTCTGCCTTCCTCCTGGTCGCCCCTTGTCTCCCATTGTCTCCCTTCTTGGTTTCCCTGTGTTGGATGGTGTGTCTTCCCGAGGCCTTGTCTCCCATCTTGTCGCCCAGCTTGTCTCCCAGCTTGTCTTTGTTCTTGTTTCCCTTTGTTGGATGGTGTGTCCACCTTCCCGAGGTCTTGTCTCCCTTGTCTCCCAGCTTGTCTCCCAGCTTGTCTCCCAGCTTGTCTTCCAGCTTGTCTCCCAGCTTGTCTCCCAGCTTGTCTCCCAACTTGTCTCCCAGCTTGTCTCCCAGCTTGTCTCCCAGCTTGTCTCCCTTCTTGTTTCCCTTTGTTGGATGGTTTGTCCGCCTTCCCGAGTCCTTGTCTCGCTTGTCTCCCAGCTTGTGTACTAGTTTGTCTCCCTTCTTGTTTCCCTTTGTTGGATGGTGTGTCTTCCCGAGGCCTTGTCTCCCAGCTTGTCTCCCCGCTTGTCTCCCCCTTCTTGTTTCCATTTGTTGAATGGTGTGTCTGCCTTCATTGGTCTCCGGCATTTCTTGCAGACATTTTCACGATTTCCTGTCGCTGCTATTTCATGTGTGTTACCCTGTTCCTCAAAACACTTCTTGAATCCACCCACTGTCTGTGGTGTAATTTACATATATATGATTATATATGATATACATGTATTATACATGTTACATATATACATATATATATATTTACATGATATATATTTCAAACCATCGTAGGGCAATGGCGTGAGCTTTCTCCTTTTCTTTGACCCGCCGCTAGGACGGTGCCGCGGCGGACTGCTTGGCCCCTTCTGGACGGGGCCTGGGACCCCTGGGAGGCTGTGGTTGAGCTACAAATGGCGAGTTTTAACATGGGCTAAACTAACAAAAGATGTGGAAAACCCATGGTTTATGAAAAAAATAATCTAGAAATGGTGGATTTTCCACACATATGTTAGTCTACAGGAGGGAAATATGGTTTGACATGGTCTAATCCAACAAAATCCACAAAACCAACAAAGAAAACATAGAACAAAATCATTGATAATCCATAGAAATGCCTGGCTCCATTCACAAAGTCATCATCATCACGCTTAGACTTCCGGATCAACACCCCCGGGATAGGTGGATAGTAACCATGATGATCAATTCCCTGAAATTCCCTGAATATCTTTCTTATATGTAGGCTATCACAGGCTTGTATAATCTTGTATATTCGATTCATGAGTCACTGATGAATGTCATTTTCAAAAAACACCTACTGCTTGGTTTTGTCAAAAAAGGATACCATAAAAGACTCCATTGGTGAATCGTCATTTTCCCTATATTGGCAGGAGACCAGCGGCTCTGAGCAAGTTCAAGAGGCCCCAGGGAGTTCATTTTCCTCCACTGGTGCCAACAAACCCAACAACCATTGTGGGACATGAGCCAACTGCACTATGGATTATGGATATGTATATATAATATGATATACATAATAGTATAATATAACATAATATTAGTGATAAAATATAAACATAATATAATATAAATATAATATAATATGAATATAACATAATATAAAATAAACATAAACATAAATATAACTATAACAAAATATAATATAATATAATGTAATGTAATGTTTTTGTAATGTAATGTAATGTAATATAAGTATAATATAATATAATATAAGATCATATAAATATAATATAACTATAATATAAATATAATATATAAAATAGATCTAGTATAGATATAATAGATATAATATAGATATAATATAGATATAATATAGATATAATATAGATATAATATAATATGACATAGATATCATATAATATAAATATAATATAATATGAATATGATATATATATATATATATCAGTATAATATAATATAATATAATATAATATAATACAAATAATATAATATAATATAATATAAATAATATATAACATAATGACTATATATGATATAACATAAAGAATATATAATATATAACATAATATATACTGTATAATATGTAATATATTATAAAATAAACAATGTATAATATACACTATATAATATATAATATATGATATATAATATATAATATATAATATATAAGATATAATATATATATAATAATATATATATATATAATATAATATATATAATATAACATAATATAACATAATATATTTATTATTTAATATAATATAAAATAAATAGTATATATAATATATAACATATAATATATAAAATATAATATATAACATACAATATATAATATATAATATACAATATATAATATATAATATATAATATATAATATATAATATAATAAAATATATAATATATAATATCTATCTATCTAATTATATATCAACCAGCAACAAGAACATGGGATCTTACCAAACTAGGAATTACGCAAACTAAGAAAAAAGCTGGAGATTGGAGCCTCGATGGATCTTTACTGTCTGCTGTCACGCCACATCCAGGGTTTGCTGTGGGAATACATTGCATAATGAAATACTCCAAGCCTGGCCAACCACCAGTCTCAAGCCAAAATGATGACATACATTAACATACAGGATGATGCCCCCCAGTTATAAGTTGGTCTATAAACCATAACTATAGTCTCTATAGTTATGCCATAAATTCAACATTTCAGGCCTTTCCCCGACAGGTGGCACCCCATGAAACCAGACTGGCGAGCTCCCCTGGTGGCTCGATCTCGCCCAGCAGGCTGGGAGGGAAAAAACATCCAGGGCTTAGGGTTTAATACTTCACATTTTCCACATCAACATTGCAATTTTGGGACGTTTTGGGAGATTTTACTGATTCTACTATATCCCACCTAGTTTTTTTGTTGGCTCTCTTACATACTTTTCCAATCTTTTGCATATGATTAGGGCATATATGCGGCAGAACATGATTTCCCTAAGTTTTCTTACAGCTTTGAGTGTCAAAGCTTTGGAACTGCCGTTGACATTGATGGATTTTGATGAATGGATTTGCTAGAGCAGATGTCATATGCAGATGAAAACATTGTGGGCAAACATACCGACCCATGATTGATCAGCCCGGCCCCGAACGCCAGTCCCGTTCCTGCACATACCGAGCACGACAGGTCAAGCACTTAGATGCTCTTTGTATATTTGTGCTGGGATCAACATGAAACCTCATCATGACCAGAGGGAACACCTCAAGATATGGAAGTTGTTTATACCTGCCTGCAATCAATATCAATCAATTGGGGCAGAACGAAGTGCATCAAGTCCAATTTTTCGTTAGCCATGTATGTTCTGACTCGTATGCTTGGCGGGTGCAATTCCTCAGACATCCTATAATCATTTTTCCAAAAAACAAGTCACAAAAAATCTGGATCAATCCTGAGATAGGATACAGAATTTAACTGAGAAATCCGAAAAAATCTCAAAAATCCTATATGGAAGAATACTAATCAATCCAAATCTGCCCCAGAATTTTTCCATCGTCCTCGCGATGTCAGGTTGCCACAGTTTGGAAGTCCTGGGGTCTGCGACGAGACCGACGCCGAGGAACCTGACTTGGCCAACTGGTATGGATGGACTGTGGCTGGACATCTCAGACATGGAACTGGTGGACATGGGAGAACCCCTAGATTTTTTGGGGGATAAAAAAAAGCTCAGCGTATTGGTGATACCATGGAATATAATGGGATACATAATGATACAACATATATAGTATATATATATAATTATGTATATGTATATATATGTATATATATGTATATATATTGTAAACTGGATGCAGGCTCTTCCAAATCCCCTTGAAGACACAAGTGATGTTGAAACCCCGAAGCAAATAACCCCTATGATGGGGACACTAGTTAGAAGGCTTCTCCACGAACACCACACCGCTCCAGCAAGGAAGCGCCCTTTTCTCTGAAAGGCAACAATGCTGATCCAGGATATGGCTACCAAGCCAACGCACCAACCGAGCGGCCACGCTCGAAGTCACCAGTGAGGATTGAGCTCCCAAGCTCAGGACTATGGCAGCAAGGCACGGAAATCCCTACCCGCCTTCTCCCGGGGCTCCCTGAGCCGCATGTGCCTACAGCGTTCGAAGGCATCTGATTGCTGTTCAAGCAAAGGTACCTGGGCAAACAAGTGGAAATTCACACTCGCTATTTTTCTTTAGTTGATTGAACAGCATCTTCATTGGAGTATTTCTCATTGGATTGTTGTTTCAGCCATTGAACTCTGTCACGCGTGCGGGCTCGGTCACGCAACAAGGAGCTCTCATCTGTCAGCTTGTAAGTGCCTAATCTTAATGTCTCTCGCAAAAACTGAGATTCCATCACTTTGGTTAGAGCGTCTGCTAATTGCGCTCCTGTTGAGACCCAGCGAAGATCTATTCCCTCTTGGAGAGAGTCCTTTATGGCTCGAGCAACCAAAGCAACTCTGAACTCAGCGCGCTGTGGTGGTGCGGTGCGGGTGATCAGGTCAAAGAGCGATTTACAGTCTGTTACAGCAACATCCATTTCGGTTGGGGATGTAGCTACAGAAATGGCGGGTGCAATTCGTGTCAATGCTTCTTCAGGTTTCTTCCAAGGGGTCTTAGGATTATGTAACCATTCCCAAAATAGCCTTAGCCAACTTAATTGATCCACAGCTGATGCAAGTGCATTGGTTTCGGCTGATAATGTACTGGTTACAACCTTTTGAATTTTGCGGCTTCCCCAAGAAATAGGACTAATGACACATTGCTGATTTTCACTGATGTTTTGGTGGGTTCCAACGATGATAAGTCCGGCATGTGAGTCTGGTTTCTTAACTGAAGCAAATGACGCATCAGAGAATCCCATGAATCGGAATTGTTTTGGGGGAATGGATTTTATAGTGATTGTTACATCATGGTGGCGTTTGGCTTCATGAAGGAGTCGGTTGGCTTCCTGAAGGTTCTCGATGGTTGCTGAATTTATTGAGGATTGTAATTGGGATAGCCTGCTGGACAAATCTGGTCGAGTATTGACAGCTGCGTATTGGAGTGAGCCTATTAACCCCCTTAGGGAAGCACGTTCAGTTTCACTTACCGGTGCATCGGTCTGTGTTTTCCGATGTGGCTCTATGCTTATGGGGTTAATTTTCCGGACATAGTTGGATTGACTTAGGGAAATACTGTAGTCTCCATGTTGGCACAAGTCTATTCCCGTGAAAGTGAAAGATTGGACTTTCTTGGATCCGAATGCATATTTGGCTTCAATCTTTTGGAGAACTTCTTGAAACTTTTGGTTTCCAGCACAAATACCATCATCAACATGGATTCCTAGAATTCCATTGAGTGCTCCTGGTTGGTTGGTTTCGGGTCCCTCGCGCAAAACGAAAAGACATGGATCAAAAGGACATGGTTCCATTCCCAGCTGCAGCAAGTGTTCTACGAATGCCTTATACCACAAATATGGTGCGTCGATGAGTCCGTACGCACTTTTATTGAGGATTCCTACTTCATGTTCTTGCATGTTCATAGCTTTCTGGAGCTCAGGTACCGGTTCTATTCCAATGATTCGTCCCTTTTGTGGGGTCCCCTGTAGGAAAGCTGCCTTTACGTCGAATGAAGTAAGCTCCCATTGGTGTGATGCTATTGTCTGGAGAACTAACATTCGGGATGTTTTTCCAAGGGTTGGGGAATCCCGGGGTATTTGGTCTAATTTTGGATCTAGATATCCCAATACCACTAGGCGAGCTTTTGCTCGATGAGTTTTCCCTTTTGGGTTCTTAGAATTGGCAGCAATTTCAGTGGAGTCTATGGGCTTCCAGGTGAGGATCCATCTACATCTTAGAATTTGATCATGTGGAATCTGATCTCTGAGTATTTTGCTGATTGTTCCTGTTTTGATCCAATTGTCAATCTCGGCTTGTTTGGCAACTTCGAACTCGGCCCTCTCCTGTCTGGAGAGTTCGCTAAGTCGAACTTCTGATCGTTGCTTCCGGGCAGAGGAGGCCAGCATGGTCCAAGCTTCAACCGTAGATAAATCCGAAGCATCATACGTGTTTGGTATTGGTATGTCAAACTCACATTTCCAGGCAAGGTCAATTGGAGTTTCGCTCAACAGGGCTCCTGGTTCTTCGGTACATACCATGAAGGCATCTTCCTCTTCTTCACTTTGGGTATTTTCGGATGGGATGCTAGGATCTTGACTACTGGCTTCTGGTTCCTGATCAGGCTGTTGGGATGTTCGGAGGCTCTGTGTTTCTTCTTCCTCAGCTGGAGTCTGGTCCCTGTTATCCATGTTATTATCTTCTGGGACTATGGGTTCATCAGGATTATTGGAGGGATCGACTATACTGGGGGAATCTACCCGAACACTTTGGTTATTCATTCTGTCAATCTGGTTCTGGAGTGCGGTCAAATCTTCCGGGAGCTCAGGACCACAGGGCATTCCTTCTTCCGGCAGGGCCAGTCGCACATGTTCTGGGGCTGAACGGAATAGTTTTCCTGCAGTGGTTGTCCACACAGTATGATTACCATCCTGTAGAATTACCCTATGGGGACCGATCCACTTGGGTTGGTTCACATTATGATTACGCCAGATCATAACCCATTGATTAGGTTCATATTTTCCCCGGTGAGGACAAGATCTTCTTAGGATGGCTCTGCGAAGGGTTTCACTATTATCTACGCTGTGGAAGGCTTTCCGGGCATTTTCTCGAATCTTCAGCATCTTCTGAAATTCTGAGGCGTCGAGGCCGTTTTCTGGGTTGGTGGCCATAGCATGAGATGGAATGGACTCGTCACTGAGGATTGACCCTGGTACACGGGTGTGTCTTCCAAATACTATCACCTCTGGTGCATATCCGTGCCGCACACTAAGTGCATTCTTAGCTTGCGTACATTGATTTAAGACCCTTTGAAGTGTAGTATATTCTTGGATGTTGTGTTCAAGGTCCATCTTTACCAACATCTCTTGAAGAAACCGGCCATGTCTCTCAATATTACCATTTTGCCAATGGGCTTCCGGACAAATGGTGGTTGGTCTTATGGACATGGTTTGCATGTACTGGGAAAATTCTTCACTGTTCAGTTCAGTTCCCGAATCGACTTGGATTTCATGAGGTGCTCCAGCCCAACTGATCCAATGTTGATTGAGGAGATGAATTACATCTTGAGTGGTCTGAGATGGGGCAATTATGGCTACATGGTAGTTGGTTCCCGCATCAAGTATGTGATAAAAGTGGAAGGATTTCCCCTGTTGGTTTGTCCATGTTATTCCATCAATATAGATCTTGTAGTTGAAATCCATCATGGGTTTGAGGGTTCCGGGTCTTTGATGTTTCGGTGGACTGCATGCGGAACACACTGCGCATCGGATGTCAAGAGCACCTTGGACCAGCTCAGGTCTCTGACCACTGGATTCTAAGGCCTTGGCAAGTCTTTCATTGGACGGATGTCCCAGATTCCGATGCATCTGCAACAGTTTGGCTTGTTCCCATTTAGGTAACCGTAAAAAGTTCATGCCATGGGCATTGTAATCTTCAGAGTCCTGGCTCGTGGTGCCGTCCAATGGAACCATTTCAGATTCCGGGACAGGGGAACTTTCGGTCTCAATGGGTGCTGACATAGGTGCTGCCGTCGATCTTGGTTCTTCCTCCGTTGAGTTCGGAGGATGATTAAAGACTGGATCTGCAGACGTCACGGGTCGCTGGCTAGGAGCGTCAGTACTGGCTCTCGGGAGCTGGCTACTTTCACGATTCCGAGCAAACATCGTGATGTTCAACCTACAGGCATGTGAAGGTCTGATGAGTTGTCTCTTGGATAACATTGTCCAGTTCTCCCAGTAAGTTTCAACCTGTACTTCGCCAGTGAGCCGTGCTACCATCAGCGCCTTTCGGAACGGTGCTTGTGCTGCTAGCAAATTGGTTGGTGGGCCGATGGTTCGATCCGTACCACGACAGGCAATTACCTTGACAATCTCCTTGTCACCAAAAAGTTCTTCCAATTGGTGTAGGATGGATGCATTGTTGATCTCCATCTTACCAACACGTGGTGCTATGACATTGATTCTTTTGATAACATCCTGAAACTTCTCAAGGCTGGGTTCTGACTGATGTTTTCCGGTGACACGGCGTTTCTTGGAGGGATGGTCATCTGCGGTTGGAATGGTGATTTCTGATTTTGTAAATCTATCTTTGTGAGTGGATGGTTTCTGAATGGTTCTCGAACGGTCCGAAACGTATGCATGGGCTGCTCTTGGTCCTGCGTGGCATGGGTCTTGGCTGCGGACTCTGGCGATCATGCCAGGTTGCCACATAAATGGCCATTCATTGGTACCTTTCCCAAGGACTTGGGCAACAGCTCTGGCAAATTTCCGGGGATACACTGCCGTGAATTCTGTTCTGTACACCATACCATTAGGTCCTGGGATGCTGCCCTCAATGGCTTGATGGTCATGTTCCCGATTGCATACTTTTCCATGAAGAGACTTGTACAATGATGGGTTTGTTGTCATCACTCCCATACTCTTACGCATGTACATTCCAGTTTGTGGGCATTTCAGTTCACCTACCTTACACATATCAAACTGACAGAGCTGGGTATGGTGGCGGATTTCACTAAGCCAGGGACTGTACAACATCATGGATCGGAGTGGTTGTTCAAGATGAAAGTGCAACCCCTGCTGATACTGATATCTAAACAGGACAATGCATAAGGCAAGTTGATACAAAAGCTCATGCCGTCGTTGCTGATAGGCCTCAAGTGCCTCTGGAGATCGGGAGGCATTCAGCTGCGCCCAGGATGACCATGGTCCACAATCCGGACTCATCCAGACATGTTTTGGTCGATGTTGGACCATCATGGTGAACAGTTTTCCTCTCCCGGCAGTCGTGGCCAAATCACCCTGGTCATATCCAAAACGGAATGCTCCCTCTTGAAGCTGCTGCATCTGGTGCGTCAATGGTGATCGTTCACTGCAAAAAACTTCGGCAAGGCAAAAGGGTTTTCCCAGTGGTTTTACTTCTTGACACTTTTGATTCAATTCCTTGGTAAATTGCCTTATGAGTTTCTGAACATGGGAGGCATCCCGATGCATTGCTGTGAACGCTGAATCATCATTGTTTCTGGCTGCAGCTTCTACGGAAATTCCTCTGGGCTGGTCACTGGCTCGGCTGTGTTGGTGTTCTGCTCGATGTGCTGGATCACTCGCTGAAGAGCATTCTCCATGAACAGCATTCGATCTCTCATGGCGATGAAGTCGGGATCTTGTTGCAAGGGATTCGGCATCATGGTCTCCGATGCATACATCTCGGAATGCCAATCCCAGACGTCGTCGTCCTCTCCCATCTGGCCGGGCGAACAACTGGGCATGTTCAGACTGGCATGGACTCCTTGGTGAGATGCGCACCCCTTGGCCTTGGCCTGTGGTTTTGCCTTGGCCTTGGAGGCAAGGTTCAGCCCCACTGGACGGGACACTTGGCTTTGCATCTTTGGAATGGGCATCTGTGATTGTTCGTGCTGCTCGATCTTGAGCTCGATGAACCTGATGGCACGGCGATGAGCCGTCTTGGTGCTGTTCCCATACCGGTTCAGCATGAACTGGCACCATTCCTGATCCGGCCAAGCCTGGCTGTGGGTCATGCCGTTGTACTTGCTCCCGAAGGTGATCACCTCGTTCTCGAGTTCCGGGAGAGTCAGATGACTCAGGTCCTCCACTTCGGAGGGAGCACTCTGTTGCAAGGCCTTCAAGCGCTGGCTCAGCGACATGATGGGATCGCTCTAGAAAGATCGAGGTTCCTGCGGATGTCCTATCTTGGGCCGAGGCTGACCCAGAATTATGGTTTTCAACACTGGACATGAGGCTCACGGTTTTGCTTTCATCTGGTTCAGAGGCTTTGGCAACACATGGACGGCTTTCTCTGACGATCTGAATTCCAGATTCTTCCAATGGTTTCTTTTGAATTCGGTTTTCAATTTCGGCAATTCTGACTGCAACTCCCACTGGCTTACTGGCGTCAACTTTTATGTGAGCGGTGTCGGACAAAAAGGTCTCAGTGACAGGCTTCGCTAAGTCACTGCTGTGCAAGGCATGACGTCGGGCTGACAGTGCAATCTCATTCAAATCAACCAAGAACAGGCCGCGACTGGTCAAGTGCATGGCGATCGGCTGATCTAACTTGGCACTGCAGAACTTTCGGTGCTCGCAGTCTATCTGCGCTGCAAGAGTTCTCATGAGGGTGTTACTGATCAGGAAAGGAGTCTTACCTGGGACCACTGCGATCTTCAGCTGAAGTTTTCCAATGGGTACCACAAGTGCCATCGTGCTGGTGAGAGTCCCTTGGTTTCCAAACCGAAAAGTTACATCACACTGGCAACGTGAAAGACCTTTCTGAATTATGGGATCCAAACCCTCAATCAACTCCCGAACATTATCTGCACCAATTACTGTCTTTGAAGCACCGAGGTCCAAAACACCAAAAGTACTGTGGGTTGCAAACAGGGCTGTTTCACATGGAACATGATTATGTGGCATGGAGACTTCCTTCTTGAAACATGTTCTGGACTGGCTTGGTGTCTGTACAAAACTGACGGATGAACTACGATCGGACTTCTCTGCATTTCGGCTAGCGATCATGGATTCACCAATCATCAGACGTTTCCTGAGGCGTTCTCTGGCTGACATTGCCGGAGTTTCCATAGGCTCATGCACATGTCTAGATTTCCCCAGAATCCTACCCCTGTACATGAACTGACTGGTTGGTTGTTCCAAAATGGACACAAAACATTCCAAAAAACTATGCTGAGGGACAGGCACTACCTCCAATGGCATGATCTCGGATGACATCGGCAGCTGTCGGAACTCCAAGGGCAACGGATCAATCTCCTCTGTGATCACGGTGGTGGTTGGAGCTGCATTGGTGCTGGTCGACGCTTGGGATCCCGATGGTTTCATCGGGCACTCAGCTTTCCAATGGCCCTTTTGGCCACACAATCTACACGATGAATTCATGATCCTTTCTTGCAACGATCGATTGCAACGATCGATTGCGACGAGGCTGATTAAAGGATTTGCCCTTTCCAGATGCCTTGAAACCTCCATAGCCCTTGCCTTTGGGGGCATTTCCAGCAAATGGCCTGGCTGGCCAAAATCCACGGTTCTTGTATCGCTCTGTCAATCGATGTCTGGCTTGCTGGTATGCTGAGTAAGCTGTTGCTAACTCCGCATCTTCCTGCAGGGTCTCCGTCATTGCTTGCTCATAGTCTGCAATGAGCAAGGCATCTGAGTCACCTTCTTGGACCATCTCTTCAATGAAGTCGTCCAGTGTGTCCTCTGTTGCATTCAATGCTGACTCCGATTCAGGTGGATCATCACCTGCTGCATCCATGGTCAGATTGGCCTGATCATACACCTTGGTTCTGTTGGCCTTCTTCTGGCCGGTCATCTCCTGAAAGAAAACGGCACCTAAGGTTCTGATAGCATCAGTGACCTTCTCAACAGTCAGTTTTCCGTCCTTCTCGGATTCGAGGATCACACGTTTCTTTTCTTCTGTTGCTAACAAGGATCCCCGTAGGAGAATATAGGCTTGCAGCTCTGAGACATCCATCTTTCGGCTCAGCAAACGGGACCACAAAATGTCTGCCCTTGCTATGTAGCTGTCGTTGGACTCATCTTGATGTTGATGCGTCTCAAACAATGCACGCTCAGCATCCTGATATTGGGTCTGTAAAGGGATTTTGCCCCAATGTCCACCCAGTAGTTCTACAAGCTTATGCACTGCTTTCATCTCACCTGACAACAGTTCGGTCTGATGGAGCTGGAGTTTCTGGAATGCACTGCCTTTGCACCCCAAAATCAGTCTGGTGACCAATTCGGTCAAGCGCTGCTTTGGCCATGCTGCTGCCACCAACTCCACCTTCTGCTGATAAATGAGAATGTCATCAACACTTGGGTCAAACGCCGGGACCAGTGAAGCTAATTGGTGTGTAACTCCCAGTCCACTGTCGGCTGCCGTAGAGGCTTGTGACATACTGCCCCGGATGCCCCACCGTCAAAATACCCGGTGGAGCTCCGCTACCAGTGTAAACTGGATGCAGGCTCTTCCAAATCCCCTTGAAGACACAAGTGATGTTGAAACCCCGAAGCAAATAACCCCTATGATGGGGACACTAGTTAGAAGGCTTCTCCACGAACACCACACCGCTCCAGCAAGGAAGCGCCCTTTTCTCTGAAAGGCAACAATGCTGATCCAGGATATGGCTACCAAGCCAACGCACCAACCGAGCGGCCACGCTCGAAGTCACCAGTGAGGATTGAGCTCCCAAGCTCAGGACTATGGCAGCAAGGCACGGAAATCCCTACCCGCCTTCTCCCGGGGCTCCCTGAGCCGCATGTGCCTACAGCGTTCGAAGGCATCTGATTGCTGTTCAAGCAAAGGTACCTGGGCAAACAAGTGGAAATTCACAATATATATATGTATATATATATGTATATATATATATGTATATATATATATATATACATACACATACTTGTACGTATAGTATGTACGAGCAACAATCGTATTGTCATGTGTTGTCCGAACATGGGAGATTCACCTCAGTCGCGACGGGAAGATGAGGTGGCAACAGCAGAGGGCCGGCTCTTCTTCTTCCATCAGGTGACCTGCTGCTGCTGGGGGTCGATGGACGCACCAAATCAAACATGTTGAACTTTCCTGCTTGTTAATTGGACTGTGTTGGACTATATTCATTTTTTTTGTGATTATTGATTATGATTGATCATCATACTAAATATTGTTTGCGGAATCCTTGCGTACCCTTTTTTGCCTCCCACTTTTTTGGCCGAGCTGTTCCTCAGACGTCAATATCAACGGGGGGTCCGTTCGGCCCGACCCGGTTCCGTTCAAAAGGTCCGGCAGCAATCGCAGTGGCACCAGCCAGCGGAACTCAATCCCATTCTGGGCGTGTGGAAGGAGGTCAGCACGGGAGGTCGAAGGTTGGAAATGTCAAGCCCGGATTTTGTCAAAGCTTTGGGCTGACCATTGGAGAGGTATCATTTTAGTAGCAAATGATCTTACATGTGGGCGGTTGCGCCCAATTCTTAAAGTCTTAATCAACCATGGTTCATCAGCTCCTTCTCAGTGCCGCGGTCAAAAAACTGGATACTTGGCCCGGATAATTTCATTGGGGGTTTATGATATTTTGATCTATTTTATGATGTCCAATATAAGGATTCTCATCATGGGACGGATGACCCATACGATCTTTTGACCACGATATGATACTTGTGGTTAGCAGGGATGCTCTTATGTCAAAACAACATTGACAGAGCTTGGGAGGTTTGGGAGGTCCATAGATCTATCTGACCGACACAGACATACCTGTTTTTCCGAGATAGAGAGCAAGATCATAGAGCATCATGAAGCATTGTATGAGACGACAGATTCGCAGAAGTTTCAAAGCGGCACAAGTTTCGCCGAAATTTTCGGCAAGGCTCGTGATGAGCAAGGATCGCATGTGACCTTTTGGAGGTGTGGTACCGGTGTTCCGGCTTGCCCCCCCATCCAATCGGTAGAAGCGAAATAAATGGTATACTATACCCAACCGGCCCCTACATTTCTTAGAAGGATATCATTGCAAGAAGTGTCATGCTAAAATCTGAAGTTCATTGAAATGATACAACATGACATGTGTATGACTCAATACGATCAACTCCTACATTTGGATGGTTCGCTGCGGAAAGTGATCGCTGCCAAAATCGCCCCAGGAATGACCTCTTGCGAATCTCGCTGTGGAAGGAGATTTCAGGGAGTGAACTTTTGGTTACCACCATTTTTTTCAAAAAAAATGGTTTGTTTTCTAAAGTGGGGGCACCTAAAAAATCCACCAAAATCTTCAGAAATAGGTCATTTCAAATGGGCGTTGGCTAATGGTTTCTCTGCAAAATGGGGGTCAAATTCCCGACCCCACTAAAGTTGGACGGTTGAAAGTTGATGCTTGAAAAGACCACCAACTGGGGTTCCATGCGTTTCAAACTTTATAAAACACCCAAATAATATATAGAGTATATATAGAGAATATAGAGACATTTGGACATTGGGTTACCTTCAGCAAATTGTAGGACATTTTTTTTCCCTTCAATCCAACTGGTTGCCTGGTTCTGGAGGTTCCGGTATGAGTTGAGGTTTAGGTGTGGTGATTTTCGTTAAACAGATGTCTTAATTAATCGATATATCAGAAACCTAGTGAGACAGTGCGCCCATTGCCAGGATGTGCCAGGGCACTTGACATGTGTTCAGTTGCTGCTGTCACACCTTGCTACCACCCTTGCAGTCGGGGATACCACCTGGCTTATATATGGCAATGACTCAAAACCCTGGCACCCTACCTAAAATTTGGCTGGTTAACGGATGATCATGTATGTGTATTCCCCAAGTCATATAGGATTAATGGAAAGGTTTTGACCCATCCCCTAAATATATATTTATATAGATATATGATATTTCAAATGTCTGCATGGTTAATGGGACACATATTCTCCCAAATATCGAAATCATAGGATTTTTCAGCGATTTTTCACATGGACTGATCCAGCGTGGTCCAGGATCCCAGGGAGACGTCCAACATCTTCCAGGCGACGAGGGGAATCATCAATCATCTCAATAGATTAGTCCAAACTTTTGCCAGTCTTGTTGACTTCCTGTTGAACGGAATGATGAAAAATGCAGGTCATATATCATATATATTTTTGATTCTCAGTTTCTTTGAGCCCCCAAAGTTGCGGTTTTCACCAGGCTGTTCTGCCAGCCTTCCGAGGCGGCGATGGATGGAAACCTCTTCTTCCTGAAACTCTACAGCCAGGTGAGCGGAATGGGGCAACATGAATGCCATTAATGCTGCTTCTCGGAAATGATTTCTATGGGTTTGTCTTAAAGTACACCCAAAGAACATCCTTAGTAGGGACAATTATGATCATTTCCGACCAAATTCACATGCTAGTCGATACAATGAAACCCCCGGGTTGGAAGTTCAGGTCAGAGAAACACCCACATCTGTATAATCATGTATGACCATTGTATTTAACGTTTGATTCCTGGGCTCTGCCTATGTATGTGATGCAATCATCGCGGTTTTCGCCAACTTCTAATGATGTTCTTTGTGCAGACTGGACTGCGGATTTACCAGATGGAAAAAGACATGATTTCGTTCTCTAGAGAGGTTCAATGAATATGCCACTGATGCAGCTCCTCATTGGTTCATATTCGTTCCTGGTTCCGTTCGGGTCCACCACATCATGCAATATCCATGTCGCATTGACGGCTGAAATCCCCGAAGCTCCATGGGTCAATCACAAAAATACATGCGACTAGCGGGTCCATCGGTTTTGGATTCTAGATTCTAGATGATTCTAGATATTTTCTAGATGATTCTAGATATTTTCTAGATATTTTAAGCATTTCGCCATAATTTGATGAAGTTTTCGACCTTTCATGACATTGACATAGCCATCAAGTCGTGGCTTGCGATTGCGTTCAGGTCAGTGGAGACTTGGATTGTACTGATCACAGGAAATGTAGTGTCAGTGCCTCAGTGGTGAGTAGCCGACAAGTAGTAGATACAAGAATATATGGCTAGGAATCAATACCTATGAAAATACCATTTTTAGAGGATGAACATCCATGAATCCCAGCTATTTTGATGTGAACAGAAGGGGTACTATTGGTTTTGACACACTGCCATATGTCTAATATGTATTAATATGTAGAATATTTAACTTATAAAAACTATATATAAGATAATATATATATTGAATGTATACAACAATATATACATAGTGTAAACATATAGTATTGTTTTACAGTAGCGTATACTTAGACTGTAGTGTATCACTGTAATATATATATATAATAATATATTATATATATATGATAAAATATAATAGCCATGATAATAGCAAGAATGATCAACAACAACAATAATAATCATATCAATACGTAATTACATGCAACACATAGTATAAGATCTGGATGAATCACAATGACCTCAATGTGACGTCACAGGCATGATGATTAGCAAGGGGAACCATCCCCAAATGGCCTTGTTTCAACTATTTCCAGGATAGTGAAATATTAAAATTCAGCCAGGTATGATACATATTATATATACATGTAGTATACAATATGTAGAGGATAGTGCATCATGCATTCTATATTATGTATGATATGTAAATATGTATATATAATGTAACACACATTTTTTGATGTATATAATCTGTATATATATAATAGTACATGAAATATGATATGTGTATATGTACACAAGCTTATTGGTTCTATCTCCAATCTGTCCCAACATCCGCAATTGACGAATAAAGCTGACATTACCCACCTGCATCCATTTGGGTGTTTGTCCATTTGCATGGGGAAAATGAGGTTACAAACTACTGGATTTGGGCGTGCCCTATTTTTTGGCAAATCCAATTGTCGGTTTTACATCCCAATATATCCCGATGATACCGATTTGCATCCATTTATTTCATCCTACATCCACTGTGGTGAATCTTCCAGCAGGATCTTCCGAACAATTGAGCCATGAAGAAACACCATGTTTCTTGGTTCCTTTTGGGGGCCCTGGGGTAAACTAACATAGCTGTGGAAAACCCATGGTCTCCCTAGGAACACGATCCACACATGGTGGGTTTTCCACACCCACAACAGGAATATTTGGTGACCAACGGTGACCGTCACCACTATTGGAGTAACTTTTCATGGCGAAAAAAATTGTGATGGACCAAGGCCTTACACTACGCCTGTGCGGGGGGGTCTGCCCCCAGCACCCTCTTTTTGCTGCAGCAGAGAGCCATGGCTGCTTGGCACGGAATTTTGGGATGATTTGGATGGGTAAAGCCTCACATAATTACTATACATTGGGTCTCGAACTTACGGAGTCCCTAGAAAACCGGTGAAGAATTGGATTCCCTGTAACTTGACCTCAAAAGAGATTCCGCTGTCCCAGGTTGATCGTGGAGATGTCACATCCACAACTCCCTTGATGCTAGCGTTGTGGGCTCAGTCTGCGGGATTTTACAGCGGTGATAGTGTGAGTTTCCAAACTCTGAACAAAGAAGGACATTTTGCAGTTTCTTTGGCGCTTGTTTGAGATGTAAAAATTGGAAGCAATCGACTTCACATGCTGTATCTTTGCATATCTTTGCCGTCCATCTGTGCCAGGTGCCGCTATGGATATGCTGGCGTTCTAAAGGTTCTTCTGGATGCACAGGCAAATCCCTGCATCGCGGATCATCAAGGACAAGCTCCGCTGCATCAGGAGCGCGTCTGGGATCAATGGATTGGTCAACGGGCCGCCCTACCCATGCAATGAGGGCCAGAATGGGCCTCAGAGAATTCTTGACTACTGACTACTTATAGTCCGTTAGATTTGCAAGGGTTTTAAGTTGTAAGTGCTGTCCATAGTCACGCAGTCATCATGAATTTGATCTTTTTCAACAGGCCGCGGATCTGGGACAACTGGATTGCTTGCACCTCTTGCTGCTTTGCGGAGCACAGGTGCGGTTGCAACAGCAGCCTCCAGTTTTGATTCTGGCGATGTTGATTCTGGCTCAACATGACATGCTACTGCCATGTTTAATCAGGGAGTTCATTCCTGTAATTCTTGAAGCATATTGACCCCCTCCAAAACAATGGACACCAAACCATTTGGTAATGGCGACCAGGCTCAGCAAAGGAACTATCAAGGTGAGACAGCGCTAGACATTGCCCAGAGAAAGAGGCTCGGGTGGGCCTGGAAATCTCGCCATGGCTTTGGAAGACGATTTTTCTGCTGGAACTGGCCATTTTTTTGGGGCTTCCAGCTATCCTGTAGAATTGGTTCTCGCCATAGATTCCAGATGATTCCATTCCCGTCGTATCCCCATTCCTTATGAAAATTCCATTGAAGTGTATCCCATTGTTGACGATTGAATCCAAATCTTTGATGCCTCCATATTTTTGAACAAATTTATTTAAGGGCAAAAGCCAGACAGTGTCGTGATGTGTCGTGAATATTTTCTGACAAAGAAATCCATTGAAGCTTCAGAATTTCTGGGGCCAGGCATTTGAACTGTCTGACTCTGCTGCGTCGGCATGACCAGTTCGCGGAGCACGACAGGCGGATTTTGGTGATCTGAGACCATCCAAAAGTACTAAACCAAAGAAATCATAGTGGGTCATATAGCATATTTCTACCCAGAGATTTTGGATGAGTGAATTGAATATAATTGAATCGAATGCTCAAAAAAAATCCTGAACCCCCCCGCCAGCAATGAGTTGACACAGCAGGACCCAGTTGAAAAAAACACAGCAGGACCGGACAAAGTCTGTCCTTGTCCATGATGCCTAGTAGGAACGTGTTGGATCCTACCAGCAGTAGGTTTGCAGTGAACTTCTCTAACTAACCATGGTACTGGTAACCACGGTAACCACGGTGTCTAAAGATGAGGCATATCCCCAAGTTATGGCGATATTTCATGTGATAAAGTCCCGCAGCACCTGGGCTGGAGGCCTCCGATGAGTCAGGGTAGCTTGGCTTACAAGTTCACCAGTTGATATATGGGTTTCTGCGAAAAAAATCGGTCCCCCTAAATCCATTCTAAATCCATTGGTTGAATCATCCAAAATCCCAAAAAAAAGTTGCAGCATTTTCCCATCATTTTCCCATGACATGCCGAAGAAGATCAAGTCATTTTCCCATGAAAACCGCTGTAAAAATCCACCATGTTTGAGGCATTCCAAGACACTTGGCCCCCCCGAAATGAGGACCCTATGATTTTTCGGAGTCGAAATCTGCAACGGACAAGGCTGGAGAGATGGCGCGATGTCTCTACCTTGTGGCGATATTGTATGATATTGTATAATCATATAAATTCATATAATATCATGATTTACATAATAGTTGTATAATGTTATATATATATGTATATATGCGTATATATATATATAATATTTAGATATTTAATATTCTATGATGTGTATATACATGCAGCATGTAATCATGACCAGTGATTATTATAAATATAATTGCTATAGTTGTCATTATCACTTTTGAAACTGAACTGCTATGTACTGCAATGCAATACAATACAATGCAGTGCACTGTTATGTTATGTTAGATTATGTTATGTATGACATCACCCAAAAGTGACCGTTTTTTTTTTCACCGCTGCAGAGTTGGAAAATTGCCAGGCAGCTGGCTTGACGCCATGGGCAGCTGACGAAACTGAGTGGCTAGTCCTCAAGACGGCCATGGCCATGGGGATTTTGGTGGATCAACTACTCTCAAGCGACCCGTAGCGAATAGGGAAGGGGGATCAAATGATGGATTTTGAACATTGCTGCAATGGGAACACCTTTCACATTGAAAAGGCAAGTATGTCTACGAAGATGGGGAACATTCATGAACATTTTACTGTCATGGGAACGCCTTTGCGTGATTGACATCACGAACATGTCAGTACTGAACTGAACATGGCCAATTTTGTTGGTCCATCCATAATCCGTTTGTTCCGCATGTATGATGCCCAGAGTCGTTCTCGCAGTAATAGAAGTGGCAGTCCTTTTAGCTCAAGATTCTGATTCGATCTCAAATTCTCAGAGGGACATCATGTAGTATCTTATCTATTCTCATTTCTGTTGGTACAGATCTTTGCTGTAGATCATATGTTCTTTTTGTTAGATAAGAATATGATCATTCATTGATGTTTGAATTTGCATTTTTGCTGCTGATTTATCACCTGTTTGCTGATTACTGGTCGATTAACCGTTGATAGTTCGACCATGTTACATCCCCCAATTTGTCGAAAACACAAATTTTGGTGAAAATCCCCAATGTTTGATTGCTGAGGTCCGCTCCGTGGGTTTCTGCATACCAAGAGGTGCTGGAGATCGATGTTGTTTGGGTCACCTTTTGCCGAGATTCCATGAGATTCACAAAAGTAGGTGTAGAATGTGTAGAACTAACAAGAAAAGAGGTTTGCAACGACCCAACAATGCAAAAAATGCTGAGATCATTGGGACCCATTGGGAGCTACCACAAACTTTGGTTCGTCGAAAGATGCCATTTTCATTGAGGTATCCCGTGTGGCTCTGGGAGGCAGTTGATCCCCCAATTATGGAGATGTGATAAATCTTGACACGGATCCTATCCAAAATTCGAGTAAACTTGGATGATAGATGGATGATAATACTTAGTAAATGATAAGATTATGAACAGATTATGAAAATATTACGATCAGATTATGATAAGCGATATGACCAAATGAGTTAAATGGACTTTGATTTTGACGCTTACCTTGAGATACTTTCAATCATATCACGTGATGATTTTCCATGATTTTCCATTGGGACATTCGATCATTCCTGGTTGAAGATGTTTGAAGAAAACTCTGTGATGCAATCCTCCGGCGTGTGGACATATTCGCAGAGATCATTAATATGATCGGTATGATAGACACAGCAGTTTTTTTGGGACCACTTTTGATGTATAGGTACCCCTTCTACGCTGAGACCCCGTAGAGACATGTCTAGAAATGCCATTTTCAGCCTGTGACATGAGATTGGTTAGGTTGGGAGGCGACTGCTTTATATAGTTTCACTTTTCAACATCACTTCAACATATTTCAACCATACTTTGAGGAACATGATATCCCGACATCCCACTATTTTTTGACCACGTATCCAAAGTTAGCCACTGCCAAGTCCAGCACTTGAAGCATTTTTCTGGGAGTCTCCATCAGGTGGCAGCCAATGATTTGATTGGCTTCCCTGACAGGCGAGCCTTGGGGTGCGGAAATTTCATGTTACTCCATGTATCTCCATGTACTGTATAAACCAACAATAACCAACAGTTCACCGGGGGAATTGTGTCCTTTCATTCTTTTTAAAGTCCAGAGGTTGTACAACACTCATTCTCCCCAAAGCAAGCTTCTGGATTGAGATCAGAATCTTTGAGCATCACCTGAATGGTTGTTTTTAGGAGTACCAATTGTAATTGACATGACGACATATTATTTTTTTGGGCTAAAACGGCTAAACTTATTGATGAAGATGAATCAACCGGGCTGTTTGTAGCAATCCACGGTCGGCTTTGACAAGTTCGACATATGTTGACATATTTTGGCTCAAATTCAGTGACTCCAATTGTTTTTCTTTAGAAAAAAAACAATTTTAGTGACTCCAATTTTTTCATCATTTTTCCATTTTTCGATGGTTGAATACCAGTTATTTCATGTTATTTCTGATGAATTTTGGTGGGCCCATGATGGCAGGGATCCCCATGTGAAAACAACCTGCCACGGCCTGAGGTATCCCAGATATCCTGAGATCGAGGCAGGCGAAAAGCCCAGGTAAGGTAAGGGTTTTGTGTGTTCCTTGTCATCCTCAGTTGATTTATGATAATTTATGATGATTTATGATGATTTATGATGATTTATGTTGATTTCATCCACAAATTCCTGTGAATGTGCAGCTTGATATATGCAAAATGGCGATTGGACGGACGAAACCTATGATTTCCACCATATTTCCACCATTTTTTCATGGCGAGGAACTGCAGCATGAACACCAGCTAGCTAGTGTATAAAGCAGGTAGCTGGTTAGAATCCCCATGAAAAACCCGCGACATCGAGAAAAAATCCTCGGTTTCCCTGCTTGGATGAACGTGCCAGGCAGATTCAAGCAGTGACAATTCGGACTGGGTGGAAAATGGAGGGGCCAACTGAGTTTGACCTTTTTTGCATTTTTTTCCTGGGAAGGTAAGGGTGGCAATGTTGTTCCCATGAAACTTGACTGATCCCTGAAGAGTTGCCGGGTTGGCTGTCTGGGGTGCAGCGGAACTGGATCACGGCGCCATTGCAAGGACCAGTACACAGAAGCCACAGACACTCCACGGCACTACAGGCGCCAGAACATCCACAAATGAGTCAAAACCTGAAGATCAAGGCCAAATGGCCTCTTCAACTAGCACATTTGCTGGCGTTTGGTGCCGTTCTTCTTACCCTGGTTTAAAATCAAGTTTCAGGTCAAATGCCATATTGTTCAAGGTTTGATCCCCGTTCTTGTCGTTTCAATTGCATGTTTGTTGATCAAAGCGCCCAATCCTGTTATATAATTGAGACTTAAAACAAGACACAGCATTCCTGATGGCGGTTAGACCATGTTAGACCTCTCTTTCTTAAGTCTCCTAATCTTCAACCGGTTTCTGAACCCAATTTCAGATGTTTCCACGCAGTTTTCGCCACCGTGGCAGGCCAGAAGCTGGACTTCTCAGTACGTTGCGCCGCAGGCCGATACTGGAGGTTTCCATCAATATCGTCAATGGGGGATCCCCCAAAATGGATGGTTTCTATATATCATGGAATTTCCGTTTACAATGGATTTGGGAAATGGGGGATACCCCAAAAACATCCAGTTGTGGTTGGTTATGATCAATGGGAACACCATGGAAAATGGGCTGCCCAAATGGATTGGAACCTCCATATATGAGGCTTTGTCTGAGAATTTAGTCCCCCAATTGCGATGGTTTTTGAAACCTTATTTCATCAATCCACTGCAATGGTCGTACATTCCGGAATCCTCTTGTTTTGGGACACATCCACATAAGTATGGCAACCCAAGATGCAGTACCAACGGACCTGCCAAGCTTTCAACGGCGAGTCTTCATTTAGGATTTAACCATCTCAAAATCTGGGTCAATGCTTTTGAACCATGCCCAATATCACGAAAATAGCTGGGGTTCGCGGATGTCAATCCCTCATGAGAAAATCAGAGGGTTGACCCCGTCTCACATCAACCCGTTCCCTGGCGGTTTGGCTTGATGGTGGCGACATGTGGCGACCCTTTCATAAGGGGGTTGTTACGGAGTAACCAGCAACGAACCAGTGGGTTTCGCAATCACGAATGGGGAAATGAAGCCACAATATGGCAAGTCCACCAACTAAAAGGATTTTATGTTCAAAAAGGTGGATTTTTGGAGCTAGATGTGTTTCAGTTCCAAAAATAGTATAATCACTTATTGAACCCAACCAACATTTATGGGTTGGGGCAAGTCTAGAAATCCTTGCAAACGACTATGTCTTGGTGCAAATGGTCAGTCAGACTGTGTCTATTGAGCAGATGTATTGCGAGGATATTCAATAAGCCTGTGGTACAAGCAACAAGAACAACAGCAATGACAAGCTGAAAAACTGCGACTAGTGGTGACCATTCTTTCAACTTCTCCCTCTGAAAAATGGCAGACCCCCACACGTGAATCCCGCACATTTGTGGGATACTGGCTGAAGAAGACACCAAATATGCATTGACCGTACATGATGGATAGTGGACCTGTGCTACCCACATGTTGGGTCACCTCAAAATGGCAAGCCAATTCCATTCCAAGGGTTGTGCGCATTTTTCCCCGACTACAAGAGCCACATCTCCGTTGCGCCGGAGGTTGTTTCCTATCCAAGCTGACCTAGGACTCCCCAATAGGCCCGGGCTGGCGTTCCTGGTGAGTTTTCCCCACCCGTCAGCATGATTGGTTTGCCGATATGGTGACTGGTGCCAGAAGTGACTAAGTGACCCAAGTCAACTTCAAGTCACATTGGTACCCACATTTGAGTCATAACTCATGAATACTTATGAGTCACAACCATTGAACAAATCCAAACTCTTGCTTTGAAAGATGCTTTCCCATGGCAGGACATGGCAAGAAATGGCCACTTTCCGGGTTCAACGGATCCAGTTTCCAGATTTTCCACAGGTTCCGCTTCAACAAAGCCACGCAGCAATGGGAGCTTCCGTCTGGAGAGGTTTGTGGGATACTGGGTCCAGCCTGGGATCGCCCTGGGCTTGGGATGGGAATCCTTAGAAAGTCGTAGAAGTGCTATATCCAGACCTTAGAATAAAACATGCACCATGAAAATGCATCAACATCCGTAAATCCGTAAACTTAGCCAAGTTGTTGATTGGGAGTTGAGTTGACCATGAATGAACAGACTAATTAACGTGCCAAACAAGTTTCAACACATGTTTAAACTAGCCATTGGCCGTTCATATTCATTCATGTTGGGGATCGATCACCAGCTCTGCAACATCTTCAGGCTGATGTCTATGAGCTGAGCAGATGCTGAGTTTGGCTCCAGTGGGCGGCTGCTGGTTTGTGTAAGGGTTCGTCCAAAAATGGGCTGCACACAAGATATGAGAATCATTGAACATCATTGAACTTTTCTCATAAAAATCACAAGTTAGGGAGATGTTTCTGAAGCAAGGACCCGAGGTAATCTGCTGGTTTTTCTAAAGATTCAATTTTGGAGGAGATCTAGGTGTTAAGGGTCCCCAAGTTTGCCATATCCGGGAACCTCTACTATTCAACCATGATCCACCTTTGCATTGATCTTCTCGAGCCGATTTTGGTCCGCCGACGGACACGTGATGCAGACATTGGAGCTTGACGTCTGTTGAAGGCGAAAGAGACGGACAGAGGCAGTTTCTCACAGTGCAGAGGCGCATGGCAAACAGCGTTTTTTTTTCTTTCCAGACTTTGTCCTGCTGACCTGTGCTTGTTGATATTTGTAGATGCTTGCGGTGTTTCCTCCAGACCTGTCCAGTACTCTTTTGGCCAATGAACTCTTTTTGACCTCTGCCTCTGCTCTTGAAAGAGCAGAGGTACATGGCAGGGCCATCTCACCTCGCCAGCAATTCGCTGGACATGTACCATACTTGTGTGCTTCTTGCTGCCTCCCTGGACAGAGCCAGTTTCGAGGTTTCTATTTGAACAATTTTGAAGCAAGGAGGCCGGGCAAGATCATACAAAGAATCATGTACAAAGATTCGTGCGGATGCAAATTTGAGAACAGATATATCTAATTTGGCTTTGCTGTCTGCTAAGCAGTCAGCTGCAGCCTAGGGCAGCGCTTTTTGCGCTCAGAATCAGCTATTTGGAGGAAAGGTCTGCAGTGCTGGTTTTCTTGGATGCTCTATGAAGTTCGAAAAAGGGGCAACCGGGGTTTCACACCTAAAGACACCCCTTGCTTTCACCAACTATTTAGCTCCGAGCTTCACCACGGTGCTGTAGCCGCTGAAGTCAAGGCAAGAACACCAGCAATAAGTTCAGGTTTGAAGAATACAAACCGCAGCAAAAACACGGGATACACAGTGATATGCATGTCAAGAAGTGTCAAGATCAGACTTCTCGGATACATCTTGGTTTTCGGGAAAATATAAAGAACATACGTGACACATCGTGACACTATTCCAAGATCTGAGCTCAGTGGCAGGTAGGCCATGAACTTGGAACCATGGAAGGCGATGCAGGACAAGAGTTGAGCAGTGGCAAAAGCCCTGATCATAGTTCAACACCAATGAACATTGCAATCATTTGATAATCATATATATATATAACATAATATAAGTTATAAGTATCATATAATATATGGCCATAGTCATACATAATATTATATATTCATATATATATAATCATATATAATAATATAATATATAAGCATATATAATCATATATAATCATATATAAGCATATATAATCACATATAATCATATATAATATATAAGCATATATAAGCACATATAAGCATATATAAGCATATATCAGCATATATAATCATATATAATATATAAGCATATATAATCATATATAATCATATATAATCATATATAATCATATATAATCATATATAATCATATATAATCATATATATTCATATATAATCATATATAATCATATATAATCATATATAATCATATATAATCATATATAATCATATATAATCATATATAATCATATATAATCATATATATTCATATATATTCATATATAATCATATATAATCATATATAATCATATATAATCATATATAATTGTATATATATATACATATACATACATATGTATATAATGTATACATAAGTTTTATTTGCCAAATTATGTTATAGGCCATGACAGGAATTCCTGGTCCTGTCAGATTCAAACGAGGCCTTGAACATTCTTCGGTCCTCGACAGGAGAGATCACGCTGCAGTACGTCGCGGTCAGCTCGCTGGACGCTCAGTGGCTCGGATCTGGACTCGGTCCAGGACCGAGGGTGTCAAACCCCGAAGAACTGGGAAGGAAAAAAAATACCCCAAAATTGGTTCAATAGTGCTGAATTATGGTGAATTACTGAATTAAAACTCGTTGAAACTATCCCTATAACATCCTATAACTATAGTCCTCCTCGAAATAACCTGGGGGGTGGAGCGGCCGCAGGGTCGAGAAGCTGGGTGAGGTCTTGAAACGTACCTCAGCTGCAGAGCCGCCATATTTGGGGCTTCAACTCACAACGGCCACAACGGCCACAACGGTCACAACGGCCACGGCCATGCATGAAATCCACAGCAAATATGAAGAAATACTGTGCCATGCTTTTGGATCGACGCGAAAAAATATGTGTCTCTTTGCAAGAGTACGTTTCATTGCCTTACTCATTGCACTCAAAGGTGCCCCAAAGTTATAACATGATCATCAGGAGGACATGTTTGTGATGGAAGACATTGACGCTCTGCATAGTTTTCGGACAGTGATGACCAAAAATCGCCCACAGGAAATGGACCAGCATTGGAAACTTCAAATCTGAAAAGCTGCTCCCGTGTTTGATAGCAGGAATGCACCTAGCCCACCTAGCCATGCCATGCCATATCAGGCCAATGTGGAACCAGCAAAGACTTCTGGTTCGGCACCGTTGTAAGTCGGATCCACAGACAGAGTCGCTGCGATCTGATCCTGACAACATGGACATATGACATATACATGGACCCTAATGCACTGACTGAGTCCAGTTTTCAAGTCTTGGGCCTGGAAGGAATGGATGGACGGACTCAGAACTAGAGGGAGTAATGGCACAGGACGTGTGAGCAGCACCATCGTCTCAGCGGTGTGTCGTGTTTTCACATGTTTTCAGAGTAGATGAATCATTCACATCAATTTCAATGGCAGGACATGGCAGAAAATGGTAGAAAACATTGCATCTGGATGGCGTTTCCAAGGCTCTGAACATCAAGAACTTGCAAGCAAGTTGCCTGGGCTACATGTCGTCCTGTCCCCAGCTACGCATTTCACGAAGATGGCTCCCCCCTTGGACCGGCCCAGGGACCTTTTTGGGCAGCTGAAGCTTTCACGCATTGCTATGCATCACAGTTGGGGCCCCAGTTGCTGGTGGCTTGGTGGCCATTGGTAGGGAAGCTTTTCTGAGTCAGCAGTCAGCACATGTTAGCACGTTTGCTTGAATTTGCTTCATCTTCTTGACGAAGAAGATGAAGAAGAAGATGAAACAGGAAGATAAAACTGAAACGGAAGATGACGATGGTCATTATTCTAATTAGAATATTATATAATGTTGGCACCTGATTAGTAGCATGGTACTCTATTGTGGCAAAAAGTTTCCTCCTTATTCAGTAACCTGCTGTTTGGTGGGGGGAGGCCTGTATTGTGGCAAATGTTTTTCCAGATTTTTTTTTGTTTAAACAAAATGTTCCTAATTAATTAATTATTTTTTGAATTTATTTTTAAATTAGTTAATTAAATACTTAAAAAATGTTTTTATGTTTTTCATTTTTTTATATTAAAGCTTTAAAATGCAAGGTTTTCGAAATAATTAGATGCCTTATTAAACCCTTATTAAAAAACAGCACCCAAACAATTTTTCAAGGTGGTACCCCATGAGTGGCTGAGTTACTCAAAAATATGAATGTTTGGATGGTACTCTATTGTGCCCAACAACTTTTGGGGTTGAAAAAAACAACAAAAACCCTTTCTCCACCTTTCTTTGAGTAAAGCTGGTCCATTTACTTTAGGAAACCATATTTGTATTAAAGCTTTAAAATGCAAGGTTTTCCAAATAATTAGATGCCTTATTAAACCCTTATTAAAAAACAGCATCCAGACAATTTTTCAAGGTGGTACCCCATGAGTGGCTGAGTTACTCAATAATATGAATGTTTGGATGGTACTCTATTGTGCCCAACAACTTTTGGGGTTGAAAGTAAATTGAAAGTAAATTGAAATCAATTGAAATCAATTGAAAGTAAATTGAAAGTAAATTGAAATTAATTAATTAATTAAAAGTAAATTGAAATCAATTGAAAGTAAATTGATTTCAATTGAAAGTAAATTGAAATCAATTCAAAAAAAATGTTGAAGGTGGGGGGGCGCAAAAAAATGGTCTGTTATTGAGTAGACTAAAATTGTTTAGGGGGGGGCCCCCTCACACTAATCAGTCGACAACATTAATATTATTATATATTGTTGTATAACAATTGTATAACATTATAACATGCATATTGTAAAATATTGTCAATTCTGAATGTTTTTTTTTTAAATATAATGTTAATATGATGTTAAATAATGTTAATATATGACAGTCGAACAGACATCAGCTCAGGGAGGCGTAACCTAAGGGACCGCCGTTCTGAATGAACGCCAGGTCCGCAGATCCAGATGCCGACTTCGCAGCCTTGACCAACCGCTACGGCTTGGGACAACGCAGCAAGAAACCGGGCAGGTCCGATGGGATCCCTTGGGGGATCCGATGTTTTGGGCACTGCGATGTTTTGGGTTTGCTGAGTTGGGCCCTGGCAAGGGGATGTTTTCTTTGTGCAAACAATATGGGTCTGGATCAATACCTATTAATACCATTTTTAGTGGGATGAACATCCATTTACCAGCTATTTTGATGTTCACCAGGGGTACTATTGGTTTTGACACACTGCCATCTGTTTTTGGGTAATTTTGGAATCTGGCTGGACATTTCCAGGGAGATCTCTGGTTTCTCGGATGTTGTTCATCCTGGGAGATTCCCTTCATGGCACATCCTGATTTTGTGGATCAGGCGGGGTGTTCAACCACCCACTACTGTAATAGAAGTGTTCAATCCTTCAAAGCCCTTCCTTGAGATGTATCCAAAATTCTGGACGGAATTTTTCCATGAAATCACTACCAGGTCATGTTTTCTTGCCCAATTTTCTCAGATGTCAGGAAATGTGGAGCTCCTGGCATGATTTACCTCCTCCTTAATCAGAGCGGCTTCTCCAAACTGTGCCCAGCTCTGATTATGGGCGGATTTGGATGGGCTTGGGTGGACTCTCCGGTGCCAGCGGAGATGCCGAGAGGTACAAATACAACATGGAGCTTGCTGCTGCTCCCAAAGCTAAGGTGACGTAAGAGCCTCAGATGGGTGAGGAGATCCTGGAGGGAGTTTTTGGGGCTGATCTTCGAAAACGGGAAGTCTCAGGCCGTCCAAAAATGAGCTATATGGAAGTTATGCAATTTATGATGGACTTGAAATGTGAATCTGATAACATATGCTATATATATGATTCATGATAATTATATGATGTATGATATGATGATGAATAAACTATATTTTTCAACACTGCCTTTTTCTTCGACAAATCCATACTCATTGATCGGATACCACTTATGCTGGGGGTAGGATCGAAGCAATAACCCGTTTATTGTGAGACCTGTTGCTTCAGGAAGGCGAGCAAGGGCGACGCGAGAAAAGCTTTAGGCGGCGGCGATTTGTCGAGGGGGATGTCTGAAGAATCACCGCAGAGTTTTGGCTTTCCCTCAAAGTATCCAAGAAGTCTCCCATCCCATCCGCGTATCATTCATATATATTATATTATATTATATTTATATTATATTATATTATATTATATATTATATTATATATTATATATTATATTATATTATATATTATATATTATATTATATTATATTATATTATATTATGTTTATTAAAATGTAGACATAAATGTACACAAAGTGACAGAACTTGCATTTTCACCGGAAAAAAACAACGATTTGTTCCAAAGTCAACATCTGCAGATCTGGGAGCTTCTTATTCCGGAACCGGCCCAGGCAAGCGTTCCAAAGGGAGCCGAGCTTCCAAAACTCAGCCCATCGATGCGGAGCTCATCCTCGATGCCCTTGCCTCAGCAGCCTCAGCGTTCGAGCCATGACCATGGAGATCTGCTGTGGTGCCTAGGAAGCCACGTCGCCGCAACAGAAGAAGAGCAGGAGAGCTGGGGAAGCCAGGGGAGTTGGCAGTGAGTTTTTTTGTCAGACATTGGGGGTGTTAAAAGAAACATTTTACCCAAGAAATGAAGGAAAACGGAAATAAAAGGAACGTCGCTGTGGCTGTTCACATCTGTTCACCAAGAATCATTGTACATCATTGGACCATGTTCGACTGGATCGATCTGGATCGTATATGATGTACCCTCTGGTAATTTAACATAGCTATGGAAAATCACCATTTTTAACGGGAAAATCCACTATAAATTGTGATTTTCCATAGTTATGTTAAATTACCAGAGGGTATGATGTATAGAGACCTCATTCTGTGTGCGAGATGGTACCAGAGACCCAGACCCAGATCCAGATGTCCGGCATGATGTCCTGATCACTCACGATCCAGACGCAATTCATCTATATCATATCAAAGGTGGTTGAGATGAATCTTGGGAATGGGCCGGTGACGTATCAGGACAGCCGTGGTGAACGATCCTTTGGCCAGTCCATGGCCAAGCACGGGCCCTGTGGTTTTGGGGTGGGTGTTTCAAGGGGGAATTCCAGCATGACAAAGATAAAGATGTGCTCTCAGTTTTAAAGCTAAGGCCCTCATGGCACCTCTAGTCCACTACTGTAGTTGACAGAGATGAATTCGCTTCGACATCAGTTTCGATTCATAGCCGTAGGAGTGATGCAACGCGACTTTAAAAGGGGCTCCTCTGGACGGCTATAGTATCTCTATTCGCAGGTGGGAACTGGCACTTTTTCATCAACCACAGAGAACTGCTGAACCGTTCGAACCCCCCAAGATGTTCACCTGCGAAAAAGCATGTTTTACCGTATCAAGCGCTGCCAGCGTCAACCCGAACCTCGGACATCATAGTGGCGTTGCCAAGTTTCTGCGAACTGCACTTGCCGACAGCACTTGCCGACAGAAGAGCACCATTCAGAGCACGAAAAGGGAAACATGCGGTGTCAGCCAGATGCGAAAGATGCACTCCGATGTTCATCCCAAGAATCAGAAGTGGTCAGCCACCATGTCGAAGTTTCGCCATGTCATCATGGTATTGAATAGACATGGCATAAACCCAACTAAGACATGGCACGATCATGGTTTATAATCCCTTCCAATAATACCAAATGCCCACCATCTGAGCCTCCAAAACAAATAGGTCCAATACAATTCCAATACATTCCACCAGGATTTGGTTTGGGGTATATACGCATCTTTCGGAAAATTATGGGAATGAGTCGGAACGAGTCATTCGGAATGGGATTGGTCATCCATGGGTTTTCCTTTATGTTTTCCATCAAAAAAGTGGTATCCTATTGATCACATCCAGCAAATAATCCCCATAAAAAAATGGTTGAAGTAGGTTGAATCTATCAGTTTCAATCCCCCAAAATGGATAAACATGGTATTCCCCATATCTATGGTTGATTTTATATGATTTTATATTCCCCCAAGGCTGCTATTTTTATCATCCTATGGCATGACACCTGCCACGCATTCCCTGAGGTTCTCGTTCTCGGCGTCACGACACCCCAGACTCTCCCAGGTGCTGCGGAAGAGCCCAAAAAATTGATGGTTGATACCAGTGGTACCAGCTATAAAAAGTGTCGTAAAATTGGGGATGCTTTACTGAGATTACTTGGAATAATTTGGAATACTTGAATCTAGTTGCATTGAATGATACTGGATGTATTTTTAGTTGATTTTAGGAACCCACTAAGACTATCCCAAACTCGGTATGCGTCGTGGCATTTCGGGTTTTTCGATGGCGGCCATTGTTTGGATCTGTCAGGCTCAGCCATGCCGCCAACAAGCATGATCTTCATCGTCGTCAGGTGCAGGTTTTGAAAAAAAAGATAGGGGATGAATCAGGGCACTTTGATTGGCTTCCCAATACAGAGAAAAATGATAGATTTCCATGGATAAACCCCGTAAAACTCCTGAAAAACATCAACATGAGTTTGTGAAAACCCACTTGTGCTTTCTGTCTCGTTTTTGCTTCCATTCGGAGCCAGATTCCAACCACCAGGTGGCAGTGATTCAGAAGAGATTGGAAGAACTGCTGCTGGGGACTCGGTCCACACCGCCAAACTCCACTGGGCCTGGTGATCAGGACTGACAGTGACTATGGGACTTACGATTCGTCATAGCATGGCATATGTAGAAAAAAAAAATATATATTATATATACAGTATATGGATATAATGAATGTTATTATACACACATATATAAATAACTATATGGGACTTGGAATTGTGATGAGCCTTGAGGTAAAGAAAATGCTGACTGGACCAAGCATCCCCGATCTCACTTGGTCGATATCTTGGCGGATTCTCCAAGGCCCAGTCTCCCGCTGGATCAGTTGTCGACGAGTTGGGCTCTCACGAAACTGGAGGCACATGCTGGGATTGTGTCCGAGGAATTTCCGGGATTTGAGCCCCAAGTTATGAGTCGTTTTTAGATGGTTTAGATGTTTTTAGCGGAAAACCATGGGAAAACCAATGGTTTTGGAATGTTTTGGATAGTTGGAGAGGTACCTCAATGTCAAGAAACCATTTGGAGATGGGTCAACACGATTAGAATGGGGAGATGAACCTCAAGTTGCCAGCTGCGGTGGTGTCACGAATCGTCACGAATGTGCATGAGAGTTTTGAACCATACCCGATCTCGGGCCGATCCCAGACTTGTTTTTTTTGAAAGATGAACTGTACATAACTGTACAGGAGCCAACCTCGATATAACCTCGGTGAGGAATGATTTAGAGACTGGAAATTCACAGGAGCTGCATGGCGTCAGCAATTTGACCAAACTGCCAATCTGGAGATTCCTACGTTGCATATTTACTATTGATGGGTCCCCAACCCAACAGCTTTTTTTTCCCTTTTGCAATTACAGTACTGTATTGCCCATTGTCTGAAATCCGGATTGCAGTATCCTTTCAGTACTTGTTTGGTCGAGTGTTCCCATGGTATCAGCATTGGGCCCCCTGTTCGCAGCTGCACTCCCGGGCACACCAGGAATCCATGCGGAAGCGGAAGGGCAAATTTGATGAGTTCCGGGCTGCTTGGGGCAATATCGGGTGTGGAAACTGGTTTGTGATGGGCGGGTTGACATTTTGAAGTGCGATGAAGTCTGTTGAAGTCCAGCCAGCACCCGCTTTTTTCGTTGGGTGGTTTCTTGTCTTTGCCAACAAACCAGATTGAACTCCACAATGACCAATGATTTTTACTTCTTGCAGGGGCTGTTGAAGCTTGAAACATCAACCACCAATCAGTGATCCCCCAAGCCCAGGCTGATGTCGAGCGCATCATCATTGCTTATGTCACTAAGAAATCTGCAGCCAAAGCTATCGCTGCACGCAAGAAGAAACCTGTTGAGGAGGCAGCGGCATGCTGTTGATGGAATATATTGGGATATATTGGGTATACAACGATTTGGGTTCGTTGGAAAATTTGGGATACACACTATTTATATTAGCCATTCTCAAATCATTTAAAGGTGGAAAATTATGATAGACCATGATAAACCATCAAATTGTGGGGTATTTGTCCCAATATCTGCCATACGATATTCATCTAGAATCAGAATCCGAGATCAACTGCATATCAACTGCATATCATATCAACTACATATCATACCAACTACATATCAACTACATATCAACTACATATCAACTACATATCAACTATATATATATATATTATATATATATATATCAACTACATATCAAATACAGCTACATATTATCTACTGTATACAAACAGCCTATATCAACTAACATCCCGCAAGCATCGAAGCATCCACGCACTGGAAACAGCCCCCTTTGGCTCCACAAAAGGAGTCAGCCAAGACGGCGACCTCAACACAGGCGAGGGATCAAGATTCAGCCACAGGATGGGAGCTGGCCACGAAACTATCCTAGTTGAGTGGTCAAATCGATCATGGTCTCATTTGAGGTCCCAACCAGAGTTTCCAACCAGGTTTGGTAAAATCGGCATTTCTCAGTAAGAGGCCGCAGTGGTACCATGGTGGAAGAGGAAGGCAAACAGCGAAATTTTAGTTTCAACAACCCCTGCTGAGCCCTGATGGTCCGAATTTAGTGTTTGCATCTGGAGTCAAAATGAGCGCTGTTCTGCTAGGAGATTCAACCTACAATACCATGAGTTTTGAAGCTATGCGGCTGTGCTATGCAGCACAATCTCATGTACAGGTCTCCCACCTGATGCTAGTTGTAGACAGCAGGTACTGTACTGGTTCACTACATTTACAACATCATTTACATACATTTACGGCAACATGCAACCATTCCCCCAAATCCAAGAATTGGTTTTCCAGGATGCTTGAGGGAAAAGTCCCGTCACAGGAAACCCAACAATTCTTGGCACTAAAAAATTGTACCAAGACACCCACATATTCTCCCAAACTTTGAGTCGAGTGGCTGCCAGGCAGAGCATGGTGCCTGGCTCAGTATTGGGGCTTGGTGTTTGTTGATTGGGTTGGCCCCTCTCTGCGGTCGGGTTTTGAGGCTTGGTGTTGGGGTTGGGTTGTATGAAATTATTTATTTTTGTCAATTGTTAGACAAACAAGTAATGAATAGTAATGAATAGTAATGATATAGAGAAACACATTGAAATACATCAAACTGCTGCCATTTCTTTGCCAAGAGAGTTGTTTTGTTGCTCTCCACTGTCGCCGATGCAATTTGACCTTGAGGAAACGAAGATGAAGAGGTCCCTTCAACGTTTCTTGGATGCAGAGACTTGATGTTCATATTTTGTGGTGGCTCATGGCCAATTCTGCTTGAAGTTTTGCCGATTTTGGCCGACAAAGATTCGATACTGTAGATCTTAGAGTTGTGCCCATTTTTGTCCACGCAATTCCCAATTTTTGGGCGAAACTTCTCCAGGATGACTGGTCCACAGACAGAAGATGTGGCAGAAGACCTGGATGTTGCAGAGCCAAAGGACTGAGAAGAGACCCATTTAGCTACGCATCCTGAAACGCATGGGAAATGCGTAGCAAATTCTGATCCAATTCGTCGTTCCGACAACATCTCTTTCAATCATGACCCAACTCAGGACTTTTTGAGCATTTTCTTGATGTTTGGCACATTATTAGACCTCATGCTCGTTTCTGACGGGACAGACACCTACCCGATCGGCAATCAAAAGGAGGAGGGAAACGCACGTTGGCAGTGTGCACTCAAGAAGTTCCAAGTCCGCACTGTTTAAGTTCAGTGCAGCATGAACTCAGAGTAAGACCAGAATTGTGGTGCTGATGAAATACGTCCCACGAGTCCCACTTAATCTAACACGTCCCCAGCAGAAATTCTCGAACAACAGATGGGAGATGATGGGAGTAACACATATATATATATATATTATATTATATATATAATATTATATATATTATATATTATATATAGTTATATATATAGTTATATATATATTATATATTATATAGTTATATATATATATTATAGTATAGTAAACTTCTGTGGGCCCAATAAATTTGCAATAAAGCCTAGCCTAATGAATTTTGCGAGATGAGCATCCAGCTATGCCATCTATGGGGGTCGCCACGCCAGCAGGAACTCGTTCGCGAAGCGCCAGAAGTCGACATTCCAAGGCTTCGGAAGTATGATTGGTGGTGCAAGATGGGTATGGGTCAATACCTATTAATACAATTTTTAGGGGGATGAACATCCATTTACCAGCTATTTTGGGGTTCACTAGGTACCAGGGTTTTGACCCATACCCATATAGGTTCTTTTGGGATGTTTACAGAAAACGTTCACTCTAGCGGCTTTCCCGACCACTTTAGCTTCAGTTTGGTATGAGAACTTTAGGCCTCAATGTGAAGTCCAAGGGGCAGAGGGTGTTCATGACAGCTATCAGTCTTTTAGATTCGCCACGCTTCTTCCCGAACTTTCCCGACAATCTTATAGCTGCTGTTATTGGGTGTTTCATGCGAAGAAAGATGAGCGTCGGATTGACAGTAGGGATGGAATTTCTTCCTTTGGGCAGGTCTTTGGGTTTGGATTCTACCCTCTGGTAAACATACAAAAAGCTATGGAAAATCAGCATTTTTAACGGGAAAATCGAATATAAATGACCATTTTCAATAGCAGCATGTTTTGTTGCAATCCACCCCCCGGCGTACCAGGACGGCCTCGCAAGCGGTTTCGCCTGCGGCCCTGCTGAAAATCTGGTTGTCTATGTGGACAAGATTCGTGTGGAAAAGCACTGTTAGAAGAAGGTATTCCTATGTATCCCTTATGTTTTTATTGAGACGGTGTGGAACATAGATCAAGAATCATTAAAGATGTAGTTTTTCTTTGATTTTCTGGGAGAATGTGTATATATATATATTAATTAATATTAATTAATTAATTAATTAATTAATTAATTAATATATATATATAATTTTATATATATACACATATCCAGACAATCCCGGTCTCCATCCTAAGGTTCAAATCGACTTGGAGACCCAGGAGCTTTCCGACCATGAGATACTTCCGGATGCTGAGGAGATGGTGGAGGCAGGGGCTGTCGCATGCTGTCGCTTGATCCAGGGGTAGTTGACATTTCGGGCCTGAAACCTGAAGATCTCGGCCATTTTGGGTACCAAGTGTCGTATTATGTTTGGGTAATGGCTTCAGTTCGCATTAAGCATTTCTAGATGTGAAACATAATGTGTGGATTGCAGCGAACTTCGGAAAAGCATGCCGTTTTGAATGGGTGTGGGTTGGATTCGCGAAATACAATACGTAACTGTCTCAGAGGTTGACATTGAATGTTTTGATCGGAAATCTGGATTTTTGAGGAAAACCCTTTATATCAATCCAGAAATAGGCAGAGTATTTGCAAATCCGCTGGCTTCAAATCCCAAGACTATTGAGACATCTTACGCCATTGGCTTCAGACAAGGGCTTAAACATGTTTCTGCATGTAGAGAGGTTTTTTATATGCTTAAACATGGTTTTTTACACAATGTCAATCATCAATGGTGATTGACCACCCAAAAAGATGGCTGAGGTGGACCATTGGGGCCTGGCATTCTTCTCAATGGCTGAGGTGGACCATTGGGGCTTCCAAGTGGCACTCAGTCAGCTCCGTGAATGTGCAGGTGTGGTGGGCCAGTGGATGAATTTACCCTCTGGTAATTTAACATAGCTATACAAAATGACCATTTATAGTGGATTTTCCCATTAGAAATGGTGATTTTCCATAGCTATGTTAGTTTACCAGAGGGTAACTGGTGATTGGAGGAATTCGAAAAATACAGAAATGTCACAACGGGAAGTTCAAGGTTTGGGGATTGGTACAGAAATGGGCACGGCTTGACGAATTATGAGTTTTGAGATAGGTTTTAAGCCATAACCAAACAGTGGCAATTTTTATGGGGAAAATGATGGGTTTCCTTAGACAAACTCAGTTTGTTGTTGGATCATGAATGCAAAGGACCTGGACAGTGAAGTTGCAACACCATAACTTTTTGATCTTGGGTCGTGGCATGGTCACATCAGTTTGAACTTTTTCAGACATTTAAGCCCACCATGAGGCCATAGGAAAAAAGGTGAGACAAATATGGCAGTGGGTCAAAACCTTGTACCCCTGGTGAACATCAAAATAGCTGGTAAATGGATGTTCATCCCCCTAAAAATGGTATGTATAGGTATTGATCCATAGCCATATTGGTGATGCTGCGGCAGTTTTTTTTCGAAGGTCGACCACCTTCAGATGCCATTGCCATCCTCACCGCACTCCTGGCCTCGCGACCCAGTCAAGAACTTCTGTCTTTCGGAGCTTGGGAGGTGCTGGGACGCTGCGATGTGGGTGAATTTTGTCACGACCTCACTGCGACAGTAAGGGGAATCATCCAAGAAAGATGGCCTTAAGATTAATTCATTGATGAATTATTGTAATTTACCCAAGTATATTATTCCAAATATCAACGGCTGAGTGTGTGTTTAAATTAATGTACATACGGAAGAATCTATTAATGTACCCCACACAAATACAAATTCCACGTGACCACTCCAAATGGCCAGGAAATTGATCAACATGGGTGACAATCTAACCAGCTTTTAACTTGTCCCCACTGCTGAGTTCTGGAGGTTCCTACAGACTTACAGATCCATCATGATCCATCCAATTCCGGACATTGAATTTTGAGCCGTTCGACACCTCACTTAAGATAGATTTTCTTCACGATGTCCCTAGACGCTTCAGATAAGTTGCAGTTGCAGCCCTATGAGTCAGTGCTTTGTTGCCCATGCACAATCTCGGTGCATCCTGTTGTATCTATGCCTCATATTCAACCGGAATGCATCATGTACATGTCTGTGTATATGTATGTACATATTATATGAAATTACCATGCATCACAATATAGTGTATTATATATTATGGATTATATATATATTATATTATATACTAAATATTATATATCATTATATATATTATATATATAATATTTTATACATTATATATTATATATTATCTTTTCTTATATTTTATATGTTACTATATTATATATAGTATATTATATGATACTATATTTCTTTATACTATACTATACTATGCTATGCTATACTATACTTTACTATTATCTTATACTATAAATAGTATATTATACTATAAATAGTATATTATAGTATATTATACTATATTATACTATATTATACTATATTATACTATATTATACTATATTATACTATATTATACTATATTATACTATATTATACTATATTATACTATATTATACTATATTATACTATAATGCAATATAATAAACTATGATAATATATAATATAATATAATATAATATAATATGATATAATACGATATAATAAACTATGATATAATATAATATAATATGATATACTATAATATAATATGATATAATACGATATAATAAACTATGATATAGTATAATATAATATGATATAATATAATATAATATGATATAATATAATAATACCATATAATATAATATAATATAATATAATACAATATAATATAATATAATCATTGGATATATTTGTTTCGTTTACACGTTTATTATCCCACTTGGTATCTGGGATGCCCTTTTCGTTCCAGGCTGCCTTGGGCGCCCATGAACGGATGACCTCCAACCGTCGTGTGGCGCGCCTGGCACGGAAGGTGAAGGAGCGGTGGAAGGCCATGGACGATGCCAAGAAGGAACAGATGCTGTACCGAAAGGCGACACGAACGACACGAAAATCGGGAAAGGATATGGAGTTCCCTGATTCTATCAACGGAATATGACATATATATATATATACATATAATATATATACATATATATACATATATATATATGATTATAGTTTTTTTTCGCCAGAGAAGACGCACAATTGCTGGTTTTGACATGGTTTTTCTCAGCAGGCTACCAACTAAAACCGACAATAACACGGTATACAAAGTACTGTATCACTTCTACCATGAAGGATGTTTCTTGATTAGCAAACATAAGGGTTTGACCAACAAGAAAAACCGGACAGCCTCCAACATGCTGGCTGCAAAGTTCAAGAAATATGTGGTTCTAAGCAAGAAAGTTGCGCAGGGCCGTAAAACTGGAGTAAAGAAAGATCTTCAATGGCCATGGCAGATATTCCAGCCCCCAGGTTAGATGGCCGCAGCATACATCCGCATGTCTTGAACACAAGGCCCTGACGGCCATCGAGCAGTTGAAGACCTTGGGTGATGACAATGCACCCAGCCCTGAGAGTTGAAAAAAGGGGAGAGGGAGGCAGCTGGGTGCAGCTGGGTTGGAGAAGAACAATTCAAAAGATGGCAGTGGCCGAGCCCCTGATTTGTTGTGTGGGGATTGTGGTCATGGGATTTCCTCAGTTTTTTTTGGCTCCAGCCACCCGCGCCCCCCATGAGATCATTGAGATCATTGCTGCATGAAGGCTGGGCTGCTGAGAGAAGCCTGGAAGCCATGGCCATTTCTAGTGGAGACATGTGGGAACATCAATTTGTCACATTCATTCAGGATCATTCAGGCCGATTCTTTGGGAATAACTACAATATGCTACAATCGAAACCATTTTTGGAGGCTACCTTTTGAAACGACTGTAATTCCCATGGTAGATGTATGATTTTGGTGACTGACCCAGGCCAAAAAGCTGAGAAAAAGCTTGGTGGTTTCGCTGATCAGCGATGAGCACAAAACTCAAGAAGCTTTCATTCCAATGCCGTGCGGGCCCAAGAACATATGTTGGTTTCTTAAAATAGGGGTACCCCAAATCATCCCTTAAATTAGACGATTTTAGTATTGAAAGCCATGGTGACTTGGGGATAGCCTATTTGAAGAAAGCCTATGGTGACTTGGCCATGCACCTTTTCCCAAAGCTATTTTTTCCTGCTGATGATCCCAGAATATCCAAACATCAGCAGCTTCCAGGTTACTTTTGGCAAAGCAGGAACTGGAGCTGTGGAGGACACTGCGACCCATCAGCCTGACGGTGCCCATTGGTGCCCCATGAGAGGACGACTCCCCTGAATCGCTATTTTCTGCCCATCAGCCAAATTCCTCGACCCAGTGTCAACAGCACCTTGGCTCCATCCTGTTAGCACATTTCGCATCATTTAGCACACAGTTGCACCCACCAGTGGTCGAACCTTTGCTTGTTTGAAGAAATTTCTATCAATCAAGGTTTCGAATGAAAGACTATGGACATGATAGGCACGAGTATGAGAAATCGTTCAATATACAATAACCAGAATATATGGTGCTTTTGATACTTGCGGGAATCAAAGAAAACGGTTGCGTTTTCATATTTCCATCCATCCATCCGTCCGTCCGTCCGTCCATCCATCCATCCATCCATCCATCCACCAAACCCCAATCCATCAACCCATCAACCCATCATCCTATATTATATCTATTACATATGTATCTATACCTAGTCCAATCTTATCCTATAATTATAGTTATTTCATGTTGTTTCAAGTTATTTCTTAATCCATCTTAATCCAACTTTCAATTTTATATCAACCTGAACCTCACCTCAGATCTTTTCTATCCATCCGCCCATCAGGCCCCGAGTGGCATCTGAAGGGCAATGAGCCCCCCAGCTGTTGCCCCAAAGCTGGTCGAAGCCTAAGCACAACTCGGAGGAGTTCACCGCAAACGTGGGAACTTTCCCAAAACAACCGACACAGACATATGGGGCATGAACAAATAATGATATATGTATACAAGTCCGCTATATACAAGCATATATAATATAATTGCATACAATTATATATATACACACTGGATAAAATTTTCAGACCATATATATATATATTTATGTGTACATTAACTATATTATAAAATGATATATATATAATACACTCATGTTCCTCTTTATATCTTTATAACCAAATTTCACCAAAACAAACTGGTGGATTTCAGAACAAACATGCTTTCTCTCTCTCTCTCTCTCTTAGCACAAGAATGAGAGCTTTCGCCAAGAAATATGAGGATCTTGGCCGATACAAACATGGGGATTTTTCCCGGAGCAGTGGGTATATTACAACCAGAGAAGATCCGATACGGCCATATATATATATATATATAAATACTTCAGGAGGAACAAAGTTTATGCTTCTTGAAAGCTTGACAAAGCATCCATCTCGGTCAACCGCGGAACACATTTCCAAGTCCATTTTGTGTGGCAGGTGTGGGACAGTTGATTGTCACCCGCTTTTGAATCTACAAGACTAAAAGCTTTTGGAGGGTGGAAATTCGACCGGGGTACACCAAAGCTCCATGCTAGTGTTCTACCAGGAAAGGGGCGCAGAAGAAGAAACCAAACATGTTCACTGTTGGAAGCTCAACAAGCGCAACTTTTGTCCTACCAGTGCATATAAACAAATACACGCATACACATACATATATATATATATATACACATAAAAAGGTAAATGTACATGTATATATACATACACATACACAATCACACACACACACGCACACACATAATTATATATATACAAACACATATTACATGGAGACATTAGAGATTTATTATCGAAGGAAGTTTAGAAGTCAAACTTCCGACAATATGTACAGATGATGAGCAGAGGTGGGAAGAATCAGAGAAGAGAGAGAGTCAGAAGAAAGAAGATGCAGGTGTGCGAAAAGGTGGAAAAGTCCTGAAACACTGTGTTTTTCCAATGGTTTGTGGCTCCGGAGGGTCGAAAAGTAGGCTCGCTAAAGCGGCGGGTGCGGAGCCATCTGGCGGGATGAGAGATGAACAATTGTACGCGGTTATGGCGCGAAGCACATACTTCGAAGTCAAAATGTACAAAGCACACCGTTCTCGGAACACTCTTGGAAGTTGAGATGTTGAACAAGTGCACGCCCTTGTGGCGCGAAGGTCGTTTGGAAGTCAACATGTACAAAGCACACCATGCTCGGAGCACTTTTGGAAGGTGTGATGTTGAAAAAGTGTACGCTGTTGTGGCGCGAAGCACATTTCGAAGTCGAAATGTAGAAAACATCCCAGTGTCGGAGCACTTTTGGAAGTTGAGACGTTGAAAAAGTGCATGCCGCTGTGGCGCGGGGCACATTTCGAAGTCAAAATGTCGAAAGCACCACATGTTTGGACAATTTTTGGACGTTGAAGCGGTGTTTTTGTGTGGCAGGTGCAAGGGGTTCTGCACCTTGCCAAAAGTGAGCAAGACGTGAGGGTCTTGTAGCAGTTTCAAAAACGTTGGCAGGCCTGGGACATTTGAAGGGGATCTGAAGAGGTGAATTTCGCATGGCAGGCGCAGTACAAGAGACACATGAGTCAGACATGTTAGGAGGTCCATGCGCTGATTTCCTGAGATGGGTTGCACTTTGGAGCATGAGATCGTCAGGTTTGCTAAGTTGATTTTGCGTGACAGGTGCAGCACTTCGTATGACCTGGCATCACTTTTTCGTGGCAGGCGCAGTCCTTTAGACAGGTGGAATGGAAAATCGCCAAACACATTGGTACAAGGACGTCAGCTCTGCATTCCACTTTCCATTTTTGAAGGACGTCTCGCAGAATTGCTGCGTTTCTGATGTTGTCAACTTCGAAAATTGAGGAAGTCTCGCAGAATTTTGTTTCGTTTTTGACGTTGTCAAGTTCAAACATTGAGGAGGTCTCGCTGAATTGCGTTTTTGATGTTGTCAAGTTCAAAGATTGAGGAAGTCTCGGAGAATAGCTTCGGTGCCATGCTTGCAGATGGACAGATGGATAGATAGACAGAAAGATGGCTAGATAGACAGACAGACAGACAGACAGACAGATAGAGAGATACACAGATAGACAGACAGACAGACAGACGGACAGACAGACAGATAGATAGATAGAGAGATAGATAGACAACTGCAACTACATCACACTACAGCTACAACTTCAACTACACCTCAACTACAACGACAACGACAACAACAACAGCAACAACACTACCACTACAACTACAACTGCAACTGCAACTGCAACTACACTACAACTGCAACTGCAACTACAACTGCAACTACAGGTACAGCTACAACTTCAACTACGCGACAACTACACTGCAACTACAACGACAACGACAATACAACTACAACTGCAACTACAACTATCTTCCTACCACACTAGACTACAGCTACGGCTACAGCTACAACTTCCACTACACTACAACTACAGCTACGACTACGACTACAACTACAACTACACTACCTATAACTAAAACTACAACTACCTACAACTACATTACCTACAACTACAGCTATATACAACTACAACTACAACCACAACCACAACCACAACCACAGCTACTACTACAACTACAACAGCAACAACAACAAAACAACAACAACAACTAACTACTACTACTACTACTGCTGCTGCTGCTGCTACTACTACTGCTACTGCAACTGCAACTGCAACTACAACTACAACTACTACATTTACTACAACTACAACTACAACTACTACATTTACTACAACTACTACATTTACTACAACTACTGCGTTTACTAAGACTACAACTTCAACTACACTTCAACTACGCTAGAAACTACAACTACAACATTACAACTTCAGCAACATCAAGTACAACCACAACGACACCACAACTACAACTACAGCTACAGCTACAACTACAACTACAACTGCGTTGCGCTTCGCTACACCACGCTACATCCTGCAGTTGTGGGTGAGGTGACCATTGCAACCACTCCCAAAATCACGACCGCCTTTCGATCCATCAGTGGCTCTGCCATCCATGCGTCACAACAAGTTACCTCTCCTACAGTGTCCTATCCTTGAAGCTTCCGCCACCGCCTTGTGCGGCACTACTGGTATATATGTGAAAATATATAACATCAACGACCTGGCGTTTTGAAGTCGGGAAGATGTGGCCAGCAGTGGCAGTAGTTGCAATAGCAAGAGGATATGGCCCTTTCTGCAAGGGATCTTCAAGGCATTGGGTTTCCTACTCCCCGGTGTCCCTTCAGGTACTCCTAAAGCTGGAAGGCTCTCGGTGTGTTGCCGTATCAGCACGTATCAGCAGGATTGGGCTGTGCTCACATGCAGTATCTACCACTATTTATGACGATTTGAATTTGTGGACACTTTTTGGGGCAGAATGGTAATACACGGGATTTTGGTGGATTTTGAAGTGGGTGTACCGATTGCAGGCACATTTTTTTGGTACCTGCGTCTTGTGTTTTTGCAGATGCAGCTTCAAAGTTCAGCCAGGGTTTGTCCGACCAACATCGCAGATGAGAGAGGAAGGAGTCAGAACCATACAAAAGCACCAAGACGCCATGCGCATCATGCACGTTATACCATGTTACACCATCGAAATATACTCACCACGAAACAAAAATCCAACATTCAGCCGATGATTTTGCTTTGGCCGATGCTCCAGACAGTCTCGGCGGTATCCTCAGTGGATCACAAGCAGTGGCCCTCTTATCTTGGGGATATTCCCGGAGAAATGTTCGGCATTGATAGCCATTTATAGTTTTGATACATTCCATGACGGTTGGCTTTGGCAAACAACCATTTCGTGTGATTGATCTGAAATTCACGAGAGATCCCAGAAAGGTCCAATGGCCACTCAATTGCAGATTGCTAAGTAGGAATCTCTGTGTTGGACCAACTTCGGAGTTTCAATTAGACACAAATCGTATATATAAATGAATTATCTACTTTCTCGAATGCCGAACATCAACTGGGGGATTTCAAGTTTGCAAGTTTCAATTTCCTATCATTATCCACTCATTTCATGCCTCGGAGGTGAGAACATGATCGTTATGAAATGGTTGCCAACTGACATCACTGGCCTGAGAGTGAAACCACCAATCGAAACCACCAACCAGTTAAACCCAGACGAGCACGCGCGCACACACACAAAAGTGGGCAAAAAATAGTTGTTGCCCCGGAACATTGCCAAGTGTGGATGCGATGATGCACTTGTTCCATTTTCCGCGATCGGGACTCTTTTACACTCCGGATCTTCTGAAAAGACCACCTTTTAGAATGGTGCCATTTCCAACATCGCTTTGTTCAACCAGGGAGGCTGCATTTTTAATTGAGAAATGATGATAGACCAAATTTTGGATTGCTGGGTTCCACAAATTGAGACAATATAAGCGCGGATTGAAAAATCTGTCACCATCAAATGGCTAGCCCAGGGAGTTTTTTCATAGGTGGTTTATCCATGTTTATCCCATTATTTATAGGGTTTCAACCATCCTTTTGGTGACGCAGGATTTCGCAACCATCCACCGGAGTCCTCATTTTTTGCCCCAAAATTTTCCCCCAAAAAATCCAGCTGCGTCCCACGGGCCACGCTGAGGCCTCTCTCCATGCCCCGAGAAGATGCGACCCGCGTACGCTTCCACGAGGCGGTTAGATGTGTGGAACGCGCCCCCGGGTCGATGGAGAACGGCACCTCACCCGGCAACATGGTAAAATGATGTACCATGGGAACCTCAAAAAAGGATCAACATAGGGTTCAGGAAACTCAACATACTCAACTTCAGAAACCAGTTCTTGTGGACTTCATCGTTAGATTTTAGGCTGGAAGGGATGGAAAACATGATCCCTCCAAACCATCATGTCTGACTGCTGAAAAGCTTTCTTCAAGGTCAGATGTCAAAGGGTTTACAGCTGATCCAAAATTTGGTCTACTGTAGCCCCAAACTTGGGATGAGTTTTACCATAGCCTCAAATGGTTGCGTCATGTTGCGACCCACTGCAATTGGCTGCAATTGGCTTGCACCGCGGTCCAGTCGTTGAACGTTCTATGGAAGCCATGGCTGTGAAAAATGCCTGCACCGAAGAATCCAAAATCTGCATCACGATCGGCAAGGCGGTTGAGGATGGCAGCCATGCTTCCGGCAAAGAAAATGATGGACATGATGCAAAATTGCATCGTGATGTGATTGGTGTGGCAACCCTGTCAATTTTCTTAGCCCCATGGCATATGCTGCCCGTCTTCACAGATATCAAGATGGCAGAGGATCCACTCCTGCCAGGCTTAACGAGCTCAACTCTTCCAATCACGACCACCGCCATTTTCTGTGGTTGGCTCGTTGGATCTATTGGCTTGAAGCGTGCCATGGAAACTTTCAGCAGCGAAGAACTCATTGTGTTGGCCAACACGGGGCTTTTGGTGGTGGCACTTTGTACTGTGACTCTTCCATATTTGACCAGAGGGAATTTAGGAATCTTCTTGGTAGTGAGATTTGTCTACGGCGTGCTGATGAACGTCAAACCCATTCAGCTCATGTACGTCCAAGACAGAGCCCCACCTGCTCTTTTCACTCAAGTTCTTGTGTTCCAATACTGTATGTATACTTTGATCGCTGTAGTCATGGCAGGCTTCTGTGGGTCTTTGACCTTGTCCATGAACTGGACCATAGAAGTTGCTCTGTGGTGTGGCCTGACCAGATGGCTGGGCCTTTGGCTGGCCTTTCCCAATGCCTTCGAAATCCTGCAGCAAAGCCTACGCCTTTCCGGGCCAGTCCCAGACTGCCGAAGGCCCTCAGCACCCACCAAATGCGACGACCCGTCTGGCGAAACCACTTTGGCACCTGCTGCGCGGCGCAGTGCGTGCATGTTGATTGTATGTTTCATCGCCTGTGGCTCCGGGTTCTATGGCTTGAGCTTTTCCGCAGGGCAACTGTCTCCCAATCTTTACCTCAGTTCCGTGCTGTTGTACACCATGGACTTCATGGCCTACCTGGGGGTCACTGCGGGGACTTCGGTCGGCCAGAAGTCTATGCAGCTCTGGAGTTTTCTGGTGGCCTCCCTGTGTTTGTTTATCTGCAGCATTGGGGAGCCGGGCAGTCGTTTCGTGTTGGTCTTCGCGCTGATCGGACGCCTGGGGATCGATATTTGCTTCGCCACCAACTACTTGGTCCTGGCCGAGACCTTTTCAGAAGCAGAACGGGTGGTCGTCCTCCCCGTCTGCGAGACCGCTGCACGGCTCGGGAGCATCCTAGCACCCTTCGCGGGCACGTTGCCCACCACGGCCTCCTGTCCTCTGTTTGGGATGATTTGTTTTGCAGCTGCGTGTGCCACCATCAATTTGCCGGATCGAGGCAGTCTTGTGTAGACTTTCCATCCCTACGGGTAGTTCGCTTCAAGAGCCTCAACTAACTACCCTTTGCATCAATTTGCAGTATTGAGTGTCATTCCTGGATACTGATATGTAAGGTGGCTCAAAAACCAACCACTACGCAGATCCTACGTATACAAATTGGTTTTACCGACCAAAGGCCGGTGAAGACAAACTTTGGCGGCTCATCATGGCAGCTTTCGTTGGGAAGCTCCGTTCTTGCTGATCGATGTTTTTTTTGTACAGGTTTCACATCAACAGCACGCTCCATGGTGATCCTCATTGATCATTCCTGGTTTGTCCAAAAATGGGCTATACCCCAAGGATTTCTGGCTAATCATCACTTCCCCATGAAGAATTGCAACGAAGTTTGGGTATGAGCCATTTTCCCACCTCATCTCCTCAAACCTCCCATTTTGTCGAAGAATGGGAAATCCCGCTGACTTGTTCCCAGGAGGCGCCATCCTACAAGGAAGGAGAAGCTGTTGAGTACAGGAGCCTTGACTGTGCAAGCGCTTTCGAGAGGAGGTTGGAACATATTGGAAGAGAAATACACTCCAGCAAATTTACATGGCAAACTTGGGGACTAAAACGAGATCCACTCAATTGGCTCTCCGGAGGGTTGAATTTGCCAGAGGCTTGAACATGTTCTAACAGTGCTGACTTCAAAAGGTTTAAAAAGAGATAAAAAGAGATTTGGCATGTTTTGGCCATGCTTAACTTGTTCAGCCGTGTCCAGGAGTGCCAGTGCTGGTTGGATCCCCGCAAAGGCAAGACCCACGCGTGAGGAAATTAGCGTAGCACCCCAGAAAGACGACTGTTGAAACCTGGGGTGCATGAGGTTTATTACGGTTTATTCAGTTTATTCTGCTTCATTTTTTGGGAATGCTCTAAGTTGAAGGCCAGGGTAGACTGAGCCACAATCCCCCACCTTCTTTTGAGGTGGTGAGAGTGAACGGCAACGGCACCTACGATCTGGACTGCAAGCAGGATGTGGCATCCTCAGCACCTGACTGAACGAGGTTGCAGATGGCTGAATATTATGAATCGCATGGTCACATGGTGGACCATGCATACAGCTTTTACGTGTTTGTACTATGTTTGTACTGCACGATGTTTTCATATATTTTCACAATATGCAGATCTGTATATTATATATACAGTATACACACCTATAGATAAGTACCAAAAACGATTTAAACGAATTGATTGCCTAGTCTTGTGTACCATGAATCAAGGTTCATGACACAACATGACTGTAAAGACATCATCAGACAATGACAAAGATCAAAGATGCAGGTCCCTTCTGATCGCATCCGAGCACAGGCAGGGCTGGGGAATTGATCCAGGGATTGACACCAGTGATTGTGGTGTCAAAAGCCAGGTGTCAAAACCAGAGCACCTGGCTTTTGATCCATACTTCACCCTCAGTTTTGATGGTGTTTTTTTGTTTTCATGCCTTGAAACATCCTTCACTTGTGCTTCAGAAATGTCAAGAGATACTCCAAACAGAAGCACAGCTGTGGGTCAAAAAGTATAGTAGTAACAGTATAGTAGTATTGTATTGATTTTTATTGTAACATACCTGTTTTTTTTCTCGTTTTTTTTTTGGGGATGAAGACCTATGAAAATCTGCTGCTGTGAAAAGCGGGATGCCACGGCCATGGCGGGCCCAGGAGCGAGGCCCAAGCTTCCAAGCTGGGGATCATGTGGAGTACTTCAGCGGCAGCCAGGCGAAAATGTGGCTGCGGCCTGGAGGTTTCCGGAAATAACAGTCATGATACATACATATAAGAGAGAGAGAGATATATATATATAATATACCATTGTAATATATACATATATATATATTTATTGGTGATTGATTGTGATGAATAGTGGTTAATCATGATTAATACTGGTGTATATATATATATATATACCAGTAGTACCGCACAAGGCGGTGGCGGAAGTTTCAGAATAGGAAACCTATAGGAGAGTTTGGTTGTTGTGAATCACGGATGGCAGAGCGAATCCACTGATGGACTGAAAGGTGGTTGGAGTTGTGACTTTTGGAGTGCTTACAACGGTTGCAGTGGTCACCTGGTCGGTAACCTCACCCACAACTGCTGGATGTAGTGTGGTGTAGTGCAGCTGCAGTTGTATATGTAGTGTAGTGGAGTTGTAGTATGTTGTAGTTGTGGTGTAATGTAGTTAGTGTAATAGTGTAATTAGTGTAATTAGTGTAATTAGTGTAGTGTAATTCGTGTAGTGTAGTGTTGTCTACCGTAGTGTAGTGTAGAGTAGCGTAGTTGTAGTTGTAGTTAGTGTAGTGTGGTCTAGTGTAGTTTAGTGTAAATTAGGGTAGTTGTAGCTGTAGTTGTAGTTGGTGTGGTGTAGTGTAGCGCGGTGTGGTGTGGCGTAGAGTAGTGTAATGTAGTGTAGAGTAGCATAGTGTAATGTAATTTGTGTAGTGCGTGTAGTGTAATGTAGTTGTAGTTGTAGTTGTAGCTGTAGTTAGTGTAGTGTAATGTAGTGCAATTGTAATTGTGGTTGTAGTTGTTGTTGTAGTTCTAGTTGTAGTGACGTGTAATTGAGTGTAGTGTAGTGTAGCGTAATTGAGTTTAGTGTAGTATAGTGAAGTGAAGTGGAGTGTAGTGTAGTGTAATTAGTGTAGTGTAGTGCAATGGAATTAGCGTAATGTAATGTAATGTGGTTGTGGTTGTAGTTGTAGTGGAGTGGAGTGTAGTGTAATGTAATGCAATTAGTGTAATGTAATGTAATGTAATGTGGTTGCGGTTGTGGTTGTAGTTGTAGTTGTAGTGTAGTGTTGTGGAGTGGAGTGTCGCGTAGTGGCGGTTGTAGTTGAAACTTCTACAAAACCCTCACGTCTTGCTCACTTTTGGCAAGGTGCACAATCCCTTGCGTCTGCCATGTGAAACGACATCTGAACGTCCAAAAGTGGCCCGAGACCGTCAGTTTTTAACACTTTTGACTTCGAAATGTGCTTCGCGCCGCAACGGCGTGCACTTTTTTGACATCTCAATTTCCAAAAGTGCTCCCAATTTTTCATCCCTCATCTGGCCAGATGGCTTTGCATCCGCCGCTTTAGCGAACCTACTATTCGACCTTTCAGAGCCACAAATAATTGGAAAAAACACATTGATTCGCAACTTTTCTACCTTTTCGCGCACCTGCATCTTCTTTCTTCTGACTCTATCTTCTGACTCTTTCTCTTCTCTTCTCTTCTCTGATCTTCTTTCTTCTTTCTTCTTTCTTCTTTCTTCTTTCTTCTTGCCGCTTCGCTTCGCTTCGCTTCTCTTCGCTTCGCTTCTCTTCTCTTCTCTTCTCTGACTCTTCCCACCTCAGCTTTTCATCTGTCCATATTGTCGGACTGTCGGAAGTTTGACCTTCAAACTTCCTTCGATAATTTTACATATAATCATATAGTGGTGCTTAATGGGATGACTAATGGAATCTCAATGATCTCTGGATAGTGGTTAATAGTGATTATACAATAATGATGAATGAAATGATTTCTATGGGATCTCGAGTCTGTTTGTTGTCCCCTTGATTCGATCCCCTGTTACCACTGTTCACTGTTGCTGGTCAATGGGGTTTTTTGACGTGAAACATCCATAGAGATTCGAACATCAATATATCGGGATTTCATCATCATAATCTCTTGGACCCAAGACATCCTGTGGATGCCCGGCTGTGCATATGAAAACAAACCACATGCGGCACATGTCAAACCTTGGAAAATTTGAAAACATAAACAAAACATGGCTGGCACTTCGGATTTCAAACCCTTGCTTTGTCGTGGATCGCAAATTCATGGCCTCATAGATCGTCATAGCACGTGACGCCGTCAGGGCAAGTGGATCCCAGCAAAGGTGTTGTATCCTGGCTGCAGCTGCAGTGCATTTCTTTTGTGAATGATGAAATCTTCATCTCAAGGCTTCAGAAAACCGATGGTCGACTAGACCTGGACTGCAAGCAGGATGTCTTGGCCCAAGTGGAGTCCAATGATTCCAACCATTTCCAACCCTTTTTATGATCATGACTTCGGAATTCATGCAGACACGCAAGACAGTAACTTTAGATGACCTTAGTAGATATTCAGAAGATGCAGAAATTGATGCAAGGTTTCTGCCTCCACTGTGCGTTGGCCCTCCATTTCCTCCCAGCTGTTGGCGACTCAGAGCCAGAGTAGTCCCAGGGCTGTCTGAGGGTCTGCCGTTCGCAGCGCCCCAGGCACAACTTCACCTTAGGCCGGGGCATTTTTCGTGCTGTGCCAATGTGCCTTTAGTGGAACATCATCCAGTAATTGAAGCCTCACAGGTTTCAGTAATAAATTTCCTTGTGCCCCTTTGCATGCCGCAGCTGACACCTGGATTTGACAATTATCTCAGTGGTCGCATGGTCAGATGCGATAAGCTATCGATTTATAACATATGATGGCTTAAGATAGCAACATAATAATATATATAATGTACTAGTATCTTAGTATACTTGTATCATTCAATGACATAAGATTGCTGCAGCATCATGAAGATGATTCGATGATCATGGCTGTTTGTTGCAGCAAACTATTTCTTTTTATCCGTAAAGACTCATCATGTGACCTGAGGAGACTTTGTTGAGTACTACAGCTCAAGCCAGGCCTGCAGTTTCGAGATAGTGTGATATTCCGTTGACAGCGTTGAAATGCTTGCAGGCTGGAAGTTCCATTGATATTATATATATTATATATTATATATTATATATTAAATATTATATATTAAATATTATATATTAAATATTATATATTACATATTACATATTACATATTATATATTACATATTAAATTATTATATATTATATTTTATATGTTATATTTTATATATTCTATTTTATATGTTATATATTATATATTTTATATTATATATTATATATTATATAATATATAATAAATATTATATATTATATAATATATATTTTATATTATATATTATATAATATATATTATATATTATATATTATACATTATATATTATTTATTATATATTATATATTATATATTATATATTATATATTATATATATTATATGTTACATATTATATATATTATATATTATATATTATATATTATATATTATATATTATATATTTTATATTATATATTACATATTATATATATTATATTATATATTTTATATTATATATTGTCTATTATATATTATATATTATATATTATTTATTACATATTATATATATTATATTATATATTTTATATTATATATTATATATTATTTATTACATATTATATATTTTATATTATATATTTTATTTTATATTTTGTATATTATATATTATATATTACATTATATATTTTATATAAAATATATAATATATGTTATGTTATGTTATATATTATATATTATATTTATTATAAATGTATATATATATATACATATGAGTTACTATATGATATACCACGCTTCAAGAAGTTGTGTAGCTGCAAGCCACATGATTTCTATGGCAACGCCGCGATGCCAGGGCAGTTGGATCTCAGCCAGGGTCACGTCTTGAGCCCAGCTCTGCTTCCACGTCCTGTGGAGATTTTTACCCTGGTTAGCCTCTCGTAAATTAACATAGGCCATGAAAATAACATGAAAATAACATGAAAATAACATGAAAATAACATGAACATAACCAATGTTTAGTGAAAACTAATCTTCCAACCCCTATCTGAAAGGGTCTATGTTGATTTGCTGGCTGGTGCTTTGTGTATCTTAGTGTATCTTAGTATCTTACCAGTCTTTCCTTCGAACTGTTAGAGAGAGTTATCTTTCTTAGCCACAAAACGATTTTGGAAAATAGAAAAACGTGCTACACTTTGATTTGTGGTGATGAATCTCTCAAATTAGAACAACATGACAGCCACAGATCAAAGATGCGATTGTCAGGGCCTTGAAACCAAACGGTCGGATTGACTTGGACTGCAAAGCAGATGCCTGAAGCTCAGCAGTCACAGCGGGTGGTCACAAACATA